GAAGACCAAACTCAAATCAGGGCATTCTTTGTATCAATTTAACCCAAAAACTAATTACAGCAAAGGAGGTGTAGCATTTATGGTAAATAGGAACATAGAACATAAAGTAAGCAAATATCAGGGAATATCAGATAGGGTCATATATCTGTTGTTGAACATAAACAAGAGATATACATACCATGCAGCTAATACATTGCTACGCCCCAACCAGCACTTCAAGTGATGAGTCAGTAGAAGAGTTCTATGATGATAACGCCCGGGCTATAAACAGACTAAAGTCTTACTATATTGTGATGACAGGAGACCTAAATGCTAAGATCGGAAGTAAAGAACAAAGTGATCCCGTATAGCTGGGAAATTTTGGACTATGAAAGCGGAATGATAGAGGAGATATGATGGCAATTTTTATGGTCAAAGAAAAATTATATTGCATGAACACGTTTTTCAAAAAACCACCCAAACGAAAATGGATGTGAGTTAGCTCAGACAAAAAGATAAAAAATGAGATTGACTATATATTTTCCAACAAGAAGAATATTTTCAGGGATGTCTCTGTTTTAAATCGATTCAATACCGGCAGTGATCACAGGTTGGTAAGAGCTACGATAGAAATAAATGCAAGACATGAAAGACAAAAATTAATGAAAAAGTCGAGGTTCCCAACAATGGAGATATTAACCCAGAAAAAAGATGAATATCAAAATGAGCTTCAAAAGAAACTAAAATTAATTGAAAACCCAACAGAACTTAACAAGTTAGCTGAAAAAATAACAGAATCCATCCAGACAACAACAAAGAAAATATGCAGCATAAGTAAAAATCCAAAGAACACAAAACTAAGTCCAGAAACTGTAGATTTAATAACAGAGAGAAGAACACTAAACAGAGATGATCCACAATACAACGAGAAGAATGCAAGAGTGAAAAAAATGATAAGGACAGACCTGAGAACTTAGAGAACTAAACAAATCTTAGAAACAATCGAAGTCAACCAGAATATGAAAGTACTGAAAACCAAGTCATCCAACGGAAAACAAAGAATTATAAACAATCAAAAATCAACAAGGAGTACTTGTGAGCGATAAGAAATCCATTGTGGACGAAATACAGCACTTTTATAAAAACTTTTTTAAGTACCAAAACCACATATAGAACGGAGGAAAATTCTAAACATGGGCTGAGAAGAAATACCCGAAATTACGTCTTCAGAATTAAAACACGCTTTAAGACATTTAAAAAATAAAAAATCTCCAGGGGAAGACCACATAACCATAGAGATGTTAAAACTGGGAGGCAACGAACTTATGAACCATATCAAAACACTACTCAATAAATGCCTCCTCAGAAGGAAAAATACCAAAAATATGAGAAAATGCAGAAGTGACACTTCTATTTAAAAAAGGAGATAACACCAATATAGAGAATTATCGTCCTATCAGCCTGCTTTCTCATTTATATAAGCTACTCACGAAAATCATTACGAACCGTTCAACAACAAAACTCGATTCCTATCAACCAGTCAAACAGGCAGGATTCTGCAAGGGATTTTCCACCGATCACCTACAGACCATAAGACAACTTAAAGAAAAAACTTCAGAATATAATATCCCCCTACATATGGCTTTTGTAGATTATCATAGAGCTTTTGATAGCATCGAGACATGGTCGTTTCTTGAGGCAATGGACGACGCTAGAATCGATTCACGCTATTCCCTCTTCCTAAAGAACATATACCAACAAGCAATGTTTCATATAAAGATCGATGATGACATGAAGACGAACAAAATCCCCCTAGGAAAAGGAGTGAGACAAAGCGATACCATATCGCCAAAACTTTTCACTTTAGCGTTGGAAAACGTTTTTTAAACAATACATTGGACAGACAAGGGAATAAACATGGATGGAAGTCATCTCACTAACTTGAGATTCGCGGACGATATTGTATTGATAAGCTCCGACATACAAGAGCTAGGTATAATGCTAAATGAACTAAACACACAGTCAAAGAAGATAAGACTAAATATGAATCTTAGTAAAACGAAAATTCTTAGCAATGAAAATCTCCTAATAAACATAGATAACACCGCTGTAGAGAAAGTGAATCAATATATATACCTAGGGCATGTCATAAAGCTCAGTAAAGAAAATCAGACTGCCGAGCTAAAGAGGAGGATAGGTTTGGCCTGGGTTGCATTCGGAAAGTTGGATTTCATCTTTATAAATAAAAACATTCCGCATTACTGACATTCGAAACAGAACAAAGGTCACCGAGATACTGACTCATTCAGCGAAATTAAAATGGCAATGTGCAGGCCACATAGCACGAATGGACCTAGATAAATGGACATCTAAAATTACATTCTGGCGACCCCGAATAAGTAAGCGAAACGCCGGACACCCTCAGAGACGGTGGAGAGATGACATCAGGCATCTAGTTGGGATCCAATGGAGAAAAATTGCCAAGGACCGACGGACATGGAAAAATCTGGAAGAGGCCTTTATCCAGCAGTGGACGAATACAGGCTGCAAAGAAGAACAAGAGAAGAAGAATACCTTGGAAATGGTTAACAGAGTTCTTTTGGGCTCGCATACTCGGCATATAATTTCGCAAGGTTTAAGAAAATGTCAAATAAATTCCCTAAGAAGCCACAAAAATTAGCCTTTTTCCATTTTTAGCATCTCCCAGATTCACAGGATTACTTTTAGCGAACAGTCTTTGCACAAATGGAAATCAACTTGGTAGTCATCTGACATAGAAAAACTACCCAAATAAAATATGACAAGAAAAAAACAAAAGAAAAAAGTTTTTCCCAATATTCCATCTTCTGCCTACATATTTGAAGGACAAATATGGAGAACTCGATAAAGAAGGAGTCACTCAACCCTCTTAAGGAAAATTAACTTTGAGGTCGTCCAAGAGACACTACCCCAAATGCGACAAGGGAGACAGTGGCCTTTTAATTAGATAAGCTAAGTTAATTTAAGTTTTTGTAACAGTTGGATGAACCCCTTCTTCACATGTCTTTTAAAAATGGAAGTGTAACACGATAGAGACGGGAAAAAAATGCCAAAACTTTCGTTTTTTTGTTTGGTAGTGTTTATTTTTTTGTTGTAATATTTGGGTTAGTTTATCATTAGGAATTTGCATTTGTTGAACTAACCCATTATCAATTTGTCCTTCAAATATTGAGCTGAGACACAATCTGAGATGGAAAAATTCCTTTGTTTTTGTATTGATTCAGCATTTAAGTTTGGCATACTAGAAATTCATATAAAATTGAAGAGTTGCTCGATAGATAATAATAATATAATAATAATAATAATAATCTTTATTCAAGTAATTCAAATTACAAGAAAAGGCAAGAGTGCAGCGCCCAGACGAATCTGCTTGCTGATTTCTACACTTATCCTTTATCCAGATAATATTTAATTATTTTTTTGCTTTGATTTCCCATTTCCGTACACCCCTTTTTTCATTTTTTGTCTACTTAATTTTTCTATCTATACTATTTTTCGTGTGGGGTTTGAATAACCCCTTTTCCATTCGTCCTCGAAATATGGGACTTGGGGTCATTGGAGAAGGGTCACAGGGAATTTTTGTGCTGCAATTTGTATACATTATTAATTATTTTATTATCTAGCTTAATGCTTAGGTGGAAACTTCAAATGGTAATTTGTTTCATATGACCTGACTAAAAAATTACATCTAGATACAGTTAATTACTACTTCCGAGTCAAGACGGTTTTAAAGTCTCTTAACTCGTCAGTTAAATCCACCGTTAAACCTATATAAAGTAGGTATTCACTCAATTTCCCTCTCAAAACCAGGAGAAATCTTTAGCGATGAGCCTTTTCACAAATAACTTGACCCAGTTTTCAGTGAATAGAAAACTCGTTTCCCTGATGGTCTAACAAGATTTTTTGAAAATGTTTTAATCAATTTTGCAAGCTAGGTACCTGCTTGTTGACAATTAAATTATGCCTTGCATTTTATTCAATATTCCAAGGTTTGTAATGCTGACCTTGTTCTAAGCAAAATACCTACCTGACCTGTAGATTCCTATTTACCATATTATTCCATCTGGCTAGGTGAAAAGTATTTGTATTACTTTTAATTTGCATAATTATTTTGTCTGACATAATATAACTCTAAATGCAGTTGAATATAATTAAGTAAAAAGTTTTTATATCTATTCTATCTGGGCTTCGAGTGCTGTTGCTCAGTTTTCTAGCAGTCTTGATTTTAAAACTTTACGGACTAAACAATTTGGATAAGCCAATAAGAAGGTGTAAAAAATTAGTAATAAATAACTATTAATTATTATTATTAAATCTATTCTAAGAAGGTAAATTGCTGAAAGAAAAGTTAAATGTAAATTTGTGCCTGGATTTTCCTGCCAATTTTAAAATTCATTTACTTAGGCATTCTTAAGAAAGATCAGACACAGAGAAAATCTGAAAACAAATTATTATGAATTGGAAGAAAAACTGTTAATGGAATAGTAGTGTCTGCTTTCTATTTAACTAATTAAACTCTTTAACTGGCCTTTTAAAGATCCAACCTTCATTAAATCTGTACCCACACATTAACGGGAAAAAGAACCTGCGTTTCCAAGAAACATTTCATTAAAAATAATATAACAAGACTCAAAAAAATGAAAACAAAGCACCAAGGCGAGATAGCCATAGACGTTCCAAAACAACAAGAAAAAGGACAAAAAGTAGGTCGTAAGTCGAGACTAGCGGCAAATGATGATTCCCTTAAACCCACCCAATGGTCATTGATCTCATGTTTTACCACATAATTCGTTGACAAATATGAACATTACTAAACTAACTTATTAATTTGATAGTAAACTTACCGTTTAATTGGTTTTCATAAAACACATTTTGTTTTGAAACTTTTTAATTGCAATTTCTTAGCTCAAACTTTGTATAGACACAACAACACACCCAAAAGCTTTTCTACACGCAACGTATGTCGGTTTCTTGCGACGCAGTCAGAACTGTGCTGAACCGAATTGAACTGTTGCCGAACAGGCAATGCTGAAACGAACTAATCCGAAGGAAGGCGGTCTCTAAAATAAAATGTAGAACTTACAGTATACAGGGTGATCGGATGATACCAGATCCACTTGCTGCAAAGTAATTATATCTAATTCTAATTTTTTTTTTTAATGTTTTGGTTGTTGAATTGTTACATTTTTAATAAAAAGACTCTCTTCTTTTAGAAATAGTACTATACCTACCTTTGAGAGATTATGATTATTTTGAACATTCGCCTTCGTTACAGGTAGGTACCTAGTGCGATTTTTTTTCTTCAAAGGCATTTCTGCAAATAATGTTTCTTAATTTCTAAAGGTCAGTACAATAATGAACTGCAATAATAACTATTGCTAGGTAAGTATATACGTACGGTTTTTGAGGTCCATATATAATAATAAGCATAAAGCTAATACATATTCTCGAGGGGTAACCCCCACCAGCCAAAATTGTACACTCATAATACAATAGAATACAAAAGGAATCCATAAGAATACAAAGCAATACATAAGAATACAAGAATGATACATATATGATTAGCACAAATGCGTCAGCTCTATTGCATCTATTCAGTTGAAATGTACCGCTACATGAAACATGTGATGCTTTTATCTACTTCAGCAATGCCGTCTACCTAAGGTCCTTAAGCCAAGTAACAGTATATAGCTCAGACTCAGATTTCAAAAAATTCAGTCGGTATTTGTTGTTCTTTATTCCAATACATCTACCGATATACTATGCAATATAGGGTCTACAGAATTGGACAGCTGATTCTAGATTCTACAGTGATATTCGGGAAAAAGGGCTATCGCGTTTATTCTGGATTTTATAAGAATAGATCACGGTAGGTATTACTTAGTAGTTTTTAAGTTTAATATTGGCTATGATACGTTTTAGATAGTGATTACCTACTTTAAAAGTTGTAAAGAGTTAAGTTGTAGAGTTAATTAGTGAAGTAATTAGTGTTAGAGTATGTAGTAAGGTGGAATAAATTCTTGTTGTGTTAATTGGACTTTGATTTTGGAATAAACGAGCTCAAGATTTCCAGAGCCGTGACATTAGTGTCAGAAGTGCGATATAATTCGAGAACTGCAAAGAGAAATCCGATTCCAGAATAGTGCGTGGACAGTGTGGACACCGAATGAAGACTGGGACAGTTATAGTCAGTGCAGGCATCAGTGACAATCACAAAAAGAGACTTAACCGATTGTGTAAATTACCGGAAGTGACTGTATACCCGATTTTGACTGTGATAGTGAATTATCAAAGTAAATTCTATTTGGAAACCTAGGTAGATATCGAATTTGTGACTTCACCAACGTGTTTGCTTTATCGATCGATATTCGGAAAAGATATTTCAAAAAAATTCTAGAACATTCTATTCGAGAATAAAGCAAGTGATTCAATTTGTGACTTCATACCGACGTGTTTGGAACTTCAAGCAAAGATATCGCAGAAAGATAGTTATTTGAACAAAGTTTGAAGAAAATTCCAGAACATTCTTTATATGCCTATTACTGCCTTGATGTTGATTGTCTTCATCTGGAACACACAAATCAAAATTATCTAAGAGCGCATTCAGCTGTTCCGTGTCCCTTTGGGCTTGATCCAATATTGAAATTACATTGTACCAACACCCAACAGCATCCGTAATTGAACCCCTTCTCGCCAGTATCAGTTTTGCCGCTGCTACACATACCGTAGTGATAGTATATTAATGCAGCAAATGAGATCCAGGATAACTATGGCATTAGGCTTCCCCGCAGCGCAGCTGGTACCGAAAAGAAAGGCTCAAACCACCAATGTTGGTGGATATTGGTGAAATGCAACTTCAATTTGTTGATTTGAGTGAATGAAAAGTTTACAACCAAATGCTCAATAAAGTGAATATGGGGAAAATGTACTATTACCTTGCGTTTTTTCTTTTGGGACTTACACTCCTCAATTGAGATTTTCACCAGAAATAATTGAGAGTCTATTTTACTTGATTAGGCTCAGAACTTACTTTTTGCGTGATGTTCAAAAGAGGCTCACCTGAGAAGTAAAAGTGGCACAATTTTTATGGATATCAGTGAAATACACTCCTTTACATTTTAATTTTTTTCTGGAAAATTAAGTTTAATACTCAAAGGAGAATTATGAAACTTTCAGGAGAAAAAGAGGAGAAAAAGAGGAAAGTTAGGAGCTCATCATACTAAAATTCCAAACTTTTCCAGAGAAAAATAATAAAATTGAAAATTAATGAATATGTAAGTACAGCTGTCAAGTAATACTTGATTATAGGCACAGACGACTTTTGGACTCTATATAGTTTGCATACAGGGGGGCTCACCTGAAAAAAAATAACACAGCCGCAGGAAATTGTTCGTGGATTTGTAGTTTGAAAACTCAAACTTGAGTTATCAATTGAAATACCTGGTAATAATATGGAAAGCGCATTAATGAGATAAATCATCAAATATCTCTGTACTTAATTACAACCGCCAAATGACAGGTAAAAAAGGTAAACTAAGTGCATATTTTCAACTTGTTTAGACACATAATCCAGTATTTGATCAGCTCTAATTACAGATAAACATAAAGTTTCAGCTTTTACAAACAAATCTTGAGAAAAAGTGTCCAGATAATTATTACCTTGGCTCCTGGACTATTAGGCCTACTAATTAACTATTTCGACCGGATTCTCATAAATCCTTCAATGACTGGCATTTCAAGAGTGCCTACCCAACACCTCCATGAGTGTCTCAAAAAAATTGAATAGGTACTGAATTTATGTCTTTTTGGAAATAGCTACAACTATGATAGCTATCTCTATCTCTCAAGCGATCAGCTGAAGAGTATTTTTGTGTAATGCACCTGTAGATGTGTGAATAATTTTGAAAATAGCTGAAAATGTTTAGTGAACTACCATTAACAATTACCCAAAGTGTTAAGCCTAGTACTCATAACTGCGAAATTCGCACTTTTTTGACATTGCTTCGACAAATTGACGTTTTATGCGTGAATCAAACGTCATATTGTTGAAGCAATGTCAAAAAAGTGCGAATTTCGCAGTTATGAGTACTAGACTTTAATTGGGTTAATTGTGTTAGGTTAGTTGGGTTGTTGCTAGTGGGTTGAAATTTGCAATAATGAAGATTTATGTTGAGACACTTTTAAGACATTGGAGCATTACACGAAAACATCTTTGGATGATTTCCAGTGACAGTATAGCTAGCATTTGTAGCTATGGATTTGAAGTGGCTTAAACAGCCATTCAATTGAAAACTGGGCAAAAATCAATTTTTTTGGGACACTCCAGCATTCTATTTACAACAATACCTACATCCAGCATTCTATTCCAACAGTACCTATACATATCCAGAACGAACCCAACATTCTATTTCACAACAGTCTACATACAGAATTTTCCTGGATCATTCATCCCTCACACAACTCATCCATACTTTCACCATATTAACGCACTTTTGGAAACCCAAGTCAAAAAAAATTAATGATGAAAATAGGCGCGAAAGATTTTCTGGAAAATTTCAATAGTTCTAATTTTCAGACATTGTAATAGTATATGATATAAGTGTATAAGAGAGCATTTAAAGCACGCGCGACATATGTATTTCAAAACACGACGCGCAGCGGAGTGTTTTGTAAGTCGCAAGGGCTTTAAATGTTCTTATACACGTATATCATACGCTATTTTTTATTACAAATGCATCATAATCTCAAATAGTATATTATGATATAAGTGTATAAGAAGGCATTTAAAGCACGCGCGACATATTTCAAAACACGACGCGCAGCGGAGTGTTTTGTAAGTCGCAAGGGCTTTAAATGCCCTCTTATACACGCATATCATACGCTATTTTTTAATACGAATGCATCATAACCTCAAAAATGTTTCTAAAGTGTTCATTCATTTTGATAAGTAGTAATTTAAGTGGCAGGTATGCAGGTAAATATCTAGGTAATGAAGGTAGATCGAACGTTTCTATGGACATCATAAACATCATTTTATGCACGCTGCAGCGTGCGATAATCGCTGATTATGATGCATGCGTAATAAAAAATGTTTTAAATGTGTTCATTCATTTTGATAAATAGTAAACGGCAGGTAAATGTCTAGGTAATAAAGGTAGATCAACGTTTCTATAGCAAACCTTTGAAAAGGTAGGCGCATCATACTTAAACATCATTTTATGCACGCTGCAGCGTGCGATAATCGTCGATTATGATGCATGCGTAATAAAAATGTACTTATGGCCCATAGTTATAGAGAATCAATAAAAATCACTACCTACCTATTTAAATTTAAAAAAAAAAAAACAAAAATAAGAAAGTTCTGAATTGTTCCAGATTCAGACATTAGAAAAATCAAAGGTTGTCCATCCAAACCCAATAAATCCCATTTTCCAAAAAATTATTGTTGGTATAGGTACTACTCACCAAAATCCAGCAGTCAATTGGTACACTATGGACACACGACGCGATAATCGGAAAATGGCGGTCGAAAAATCTTAACTTGTGTGAGAAAAATAGATAATTCCCGGACTCGTATGGCGGTACTTCATCTATCGGCGATTCGTACTCGACTAAATCTAATCCCTTTGTCTTGTCCGACAAATAAATCCGAATCTCAACCCCAAAAAAAAAGGTAAACAGATAAGGTAATAAATAATAAATATGAGTAATAGTGTGATAGGCAAAAAAAACTAACTGCCTAGTAGAGTATTACCCGACGGCAAGTGTAAATCCCCTGTTTCTAGCTATACAGAACCGAATTAGTATTATATTTCTAAAAAAAGTCTATTTTAGCTTTGTTCTAACAAAGCAAGATTCTGCGCAAAGCCTAGAATACGAAAATCGTATACAAAGTGGCTTCGAAACCATTCTTGAGACGGTTTTGGAACAGACCTTGATAATAACTTTCAATTTTTGTCTATGTCCAAACATCTAAAATTCTGAGTTACTTTAAAAACCACCAAATGGTCCAAATTTGTCCTTAAACTTCTCAAAACGTGAGGTCAAAAGAAAATACATTTGCTTTAATAGATAAGTATTTTTGAAGGGTAAGTAATCGGAGTTATGGCAAATAAAATTAAAAATGTACAGGGTACAGGGATAGGGCCAATCGTTCTCTTGGTTTGATCGATTCACGCATATTTGTATCCGATTTTGATATCTTATCTGAGAATAATTCTCTAGCGTTAGGTCAAAGGGGCTTAAGTCAAAATTTCAATATTTCAGGAAATAAGGTTTTAAAGTTGCATTGTAACAAAAAGTTGAAGTCGGTTTCTGAGATACGTAGAAAATTTTTAAATTTACTTGGATCTTCACTTCTCAATTAGGGTTACCACCTCTTCGGATTTCACCCGGAGTCTACGGGTTTTCACATTCTCCGGGCTCCGGATTACTAGGTGTTTTCTCCGGGTAAAACCGCATTTAATAAAAAAACACATTTAACAAAAAAAACGCATTTAACAAAAAAAAAAAAACGTAAAAATAATTTTTATGTCTAGGAAAAAAAATAAGATTTAGCAACAGCGCAATACCGTTCCTGCTCTCCCTCAAGGATATTACCAAAGTTTAATATTACACACTACTACAGGATTGATCATCGGCCTCGATTTTTGGAATCAAGGTCATATGGTGTTGCACCGTTGTCGACGTCTTCAACGGTGTCGTTAACTGTTTGCGCCAGCGATCGTGGTTTAAAATATACATTTATGATGAAAAATATTATTTAATTTTGAAAAACATAATAGACAAAGAGGAAGATGCAAACGAGATCTAAAAAAGGTTATTTTAGAATGTTGCTTGTACTAAAACCAAGTATGCATAAAGCCAAAGTCAGCGGAATCATAGGCTGTGGTGCAAACACCCTACTTCAAGGCGAGGAACGACACGCTGTCTACGTCATCACTGGTACTTTGGCGTGGTGGGGGCTTGAGATTTGATCTATAGAGGCCATATGCGGATAGACTATCCTATGGTTGTCCTATCTTGTGTAATGTGTAATATCCTTAGATCTCCCTCTCCAACCGTCTCTACTCCCAACCCCAACCTGAAGCATCATCCGGTGATGCGTATAGCTGGAGTGTACGTAATAATGCATCTGTTATCAGATTTGTAGGATTTTTTTTTTCAATAGGGTTTACTTTTTTCTCCGGTTCAACTTGCTTTCCAAGGTGGCATCCCTATTCTCAATCCATCTAATAACATCTCGTAAGCACCAAGAGTAGGCCTTCTGGCTATCCATTCTTTAACCCATATTCTTTTTTTAGGTCCTTTTCTTCCCTCTTCTCGTGAAGTTGCAATAATAAATGCAGCTGCAGCTCTTTCTCTACGGCGAGACATCTTGACATTTTTTCCGCACTAATTTTTCGTACAAAACACATGCTACTATACCGTGTATATACGGGTCTCAGAAGTTAAAATGTCTAGAGAGCACTTGCTGAGAGAAATTGCATTTAACAATTTGCGTAAATGTAAACGCTCGCGCATGTTACTCTGGGAAGTTCTATCGCAATTCACTATCCCGTGTAAACCACGCTTTATGCATACTTGAGACGATTTCGCCACGTTTTGGTAACCCTCTTTGGTTGGTTAAAAATGTACCAACCAATTTCGGCACGAAAAACAATGACGTCACGATAACTTTGGTATCTATTTTGGTATGTCAAATTGGGTACCGAGCTTGGAGCACGGTTATTTGAATTGGTAGCTTGCTATCTCTTTCTAACTTGGAGTAATTTAACCACACTTTTTTGTTTATCTTTAAAATTAAATACAAGAAATAAACACAATTAATTTTCACCATTCCCAATTTTAATTTCCAACAATAAAAAGTATTTAGTAGTTTGTTTATTTTTATTTTTTCAGGCATACCATCATCATCACGTCATACACGTGACATTTGACTAACCGGCCGATTTTGGCTGAAAATGGTATGCGACGTCACTGTTGTGACGAAGAGCCTACCTAGCGGTTAACCAACTCACCTACCAACCAAAACGTGGCGAAATCGTCTTTGGTTTCACTACTAGAATTATTTAACATTCTAAGGCCCGGTGTATTCATCTTCAATTTTTCAGATAAACTTGCTGGCAATTATCTGCAAGATTAACTTACCGTTCAATAATTCTATGACATAGGCGGCGTTCCGTATCTTAACCATAGTTACCGATTGGTATGGAGCGGTTCGTTTATGGTGACAGTCTGGTTCCTGAATATGCGGTTTATGTGTGGAACCGCGTTTCATAACCTAACCACATTTCAAGAGTGGTTAGGTTACGGAACGTTTACCGGAAAAACCAAGAATCTTGGTTAACTTACGGAACGTCCCCTTAATCGGCGGATAACTGGCCGACCAATAGTTCTTTTCACGTGGCTCCGGTTTAACTAACCGGGTTACAAAACGGTTAGAGAAATGACATACCGTTTTCTAACCCAGTTACAAAGTAACGTGAATGGATATTTGAGCGGTATGTTGCGGTTTGTTAAACCGGAACCACGTGAAAAGGGTTAATGGGATTACAGATTTTGTTTTTATCCGTCAGATTGCATGCTGACAGTTTATCATAAGGTGAATAAACCGGCCCTAAAACAACTCTTTTTTAGATCTCGTTTTCATCTAATCAAAATTACATATTACTTTTTTTGATAAATTTAAATTCTAAACTACGACCGCTAGTGCAAACAGCAACAGCTTACGACTAGTTTTGAGTTTTGATGTCGGAAATGGGGACATACCAATATGGCGGCGATTGCCAAAAGAGAGGCCGATAAGTAATCCTTAAGGCCCAGTTGTACAATCCAGGTTCAAACAGAGGTTTAGTTGAACTCTACTGGTACTTGAACCATCCCATTTAAAATGCATTGCTGTCAGAAATATGCCAAAATGTAAATTTATTGACAGCAATGCACTTCAAATGGGAAAGTTCAAGTACCAGTAGAGTTCAACTTAACCTCTGTTTGAACCTGGATTGTACAACTGGGCCTAAGTAGTGTGTATTATCCTTGGTTTGCACTGACCATTTTAAGGGAGGTTTAACGATAATCTACGCTTAAGTAACATTTTCACATGTAAAATTGTTACTATAAGGCGACGTTCCGTAAGCTAACCAAGTATATGTATTTGCGGTGAAAATGGAATAGGAGGTAAATAATTTTAAATTCATTCTGGACGACTACTTATTACATTTTTAATGCCTGATTCAACCGTCTCTCTTAACCGAGGCTTAGAGATAACTATTCCTTAAAGTGACATTTTCCCATGCAAAACTGTCAATTTAAGGGATAGTTATCGTTAAGCCTCAGTTAAGAGAGATGGTGCAATCGGGCATAAGAGGACTATAATATTCTATATCTAGCATCCAAGCTAAACCAAAGCTAAACCGAATCGTTCCACACATGAACCGCATTTTCAGGAACCAGACTGTTTCCATAGACGAACGCTTCATACCGATCGGTAACTCTGGTTAAGATACGGAACGTCGCCGTAGTGTTGATTATTGTATCGTTAAACCTCCCTCAAAAGTATCGTTAAACCTCCCTCAAAATAATCCGTGCAAACAACCATCAAAAACACACAAGCAACGATACCAAAAAAACTGGTAGATGTTAGCACGGACCGGTTGATTCTGAAAAATGACCCAAATTCCATTTGTCACAATCAGCTGATTTTCATGTATTGTATATTTTAAATAAAATGATAACTTGTTTACCCCTTTCTAGGTAGTTTTCTTTTCACCTCACCTTCAAAAATGTTTGGGAAAAACTCAATTCCCCAAGGAAAACCATTCGAATTAACCTCAGAAGAAATCACTGAAGATATCGAAGATGTTTGTCTTGATGAAGAGCAAAGACACAAATTATACCTTTGCTTGGACAATAAACCACCTCAAGACCAACATTTCACTAAAGTGGAGGATTTCCTAAAGGGTACAGACAATTTGGATGAGGTCAAGCAAAAGTTGGACTTTTTAACTAAGGAAGTGGATAGTTTAATTGAGAATATCAACGGGAAAGTTAAGGACTTGCAACAGAAAGCTGAACAGTACAAGTTAAAAAGTTGAAATTCTCAAGTGATAACGAAAAAATATTTTTGATTTTTTATTGCTACAATATTACCTAATACATTTTTGTACAATTAAAATATGTAACATTTTCATGAGTTTAAATTATTACCTAAGATTATAAGTCTCAAATTATTCTAACAAGATGCTTTTTGGAATATATATTACCACAATAATTATTATTATTTCAAATCCTGAATTGCTATTGATCATTACCTCACAGAAGCACCTCTAGTAGCAATGCCGAATTCTAACAAAAGAATTAAATATATTTTTTTTTACTCAATTGTTTCATTTTCACAAGTCTCTGTTCAAATCACTCAATACTTTTAATAAAAATGGAAGAAAGAAGAAATATAAATTATAAAAACAAATATTAGTCACAGTAGTTTCAACACCATCAATTAAGTATTCATGATAATTATTACTACTCTCCTTAGACTGAAATTTGATTTAAAAAACCATGATATGTTAGACTAGAATACATTTTTTTTAAAATTATAGTGGAAGTGATTAAAATCTCACACAAAAAATGGAATGCAAAAGTTGACACACCTAAGTTGTTTTCCCTCTAGCCTACTCTAATCTCATAAAAATCCACTAAGCTCTGCCAACACTGATAAATTGAGCACTGATAATAATAATAATCTCACCTTTAGCTATAAAAGTAAAGTAAAAGTTTACTCTACATCTCTAATTAAAAAAAAAAAATGGAACAAGAATGTTTTTGTGTGCCGCACAAGCTAAATGAAGTGGAATTGATCCAAGACAAACAAACTCCATTTCATTTAGCATGTGAAGACAACAATTTGCTTTTTGGAATACGACGGTCGAGGACGTAAATAACCTACTTTCACACAAAACTACACCTAGACAGACTTTTTGGCATATTATTGTATCTAATAATAATAATAATAATAATTTAAGTGCCTTTGTTCTAATAATTATAAATAAATAATACATATTATATTATCACCATACTACATTCAAAAATATAAGGTTGTTCCGACCAGAACCGAATCAGATCTTAGGCGGGGATCAACCAACTCCATAATTTAACTATTTGAACGGTCAAAAGTAAAATATTTTTAATCTATGTCTGTCTATGATGATTCAAGAAACTTGTGTTTTATCTGCTCATGATTTTTGAAATTAGCTGATCCAGAGTCGAGAGCGCAGGCATGTTCTTATTCCTCTATTTGTAAAAATCTAGAACTTTTCAATGTTGTTCTTGGAAAGAAAATTAAGAAATAAGGATTTGGATCTGCCCTCATTTTAAAACATGTTACCTTATGGACTAAGAATAATGAATAAAGAATTGGAGTTGGCTAATCCCAGCCTTACCCTTGGCGTTGAAAATTTTGGATTTTTGTCCGAAGACCTTTAAATATCAGTGATGGAATCTAAACTGGCAATATCCAAAGATGTATACCTATAAATTCAGAGCCAAGGGTTTTTTTTTTCTATCGATCTGGATTCCTGGCTAGAAGAAAACCTGTAGGGCTAAGAAGTAGGTACAATATAGTAAGGCCCCCTAAAATAGGCTATAACCAACTCAATAGTTGAAAAAAAAGTTTCAATTTGACATATTTAAAAGTTTTCACTTAGATATGAATGTAACACTAACCAACCAACAAAAAAAAATCCAACAATAAGGAACATCACTTTGAAAGAAAATTTTCAATAAATAAAAGACGTCAAACGTTACTGTCAAACATCGGAGAACCAGTAAAGCTAATTGGTTGAGCATTAGCCACCAAGTTGGAGCGCATATTTGAAGACGTAATGGGGCCTTCTCGGTTTGATTCCATAGCTGCAGCCGCTTGTCGCATTTCATCGGCTGTAGCCCTGTGAAAAGTATTTAGTTTAGCTACAAGGTAACATCAGAAATAATCTCAAAAGAAAAAGCATGCAATTTAATGCAAAAATTGACCAATCTTACAAATACTGTCCTACAAAAAAAAGATTTTATATTCAAAAATAAATACAAGTCCCCATAATTAGTGCATCAAACTTTAGCGTGTGCCTTATTGCAGTTTTATTTGAATTCTTGGTGATTATTTCTAGTGTCAATGAAGCACATTTAACATTTAACTAACTGCACTTATCATGGGACACATTGTATATATGTAAGTCTATGTGCAATAATAGTAAAATTGCTACTTGGAAAACTTACCAATCTTTACCCAAAAAAATAATATACAGGGTGACAATTTAAAAACTTGCAATTGGGCAATCGTTTTTTAAACCATTACCTAAAGAAACATGAAACAGTCCAAATTGAAATTCTTTGAACAGATCAAAATAAATCTGACTTCATTGACCATCAGGTATTTATAGTTATGGTTTAGTTTTATAGAAAGATATATCTAGCCAGTTCCAAGTTTTCGCCCTGTTTATACATGCGCGTATTACCTAAGTTTGGAAACAAATAAGGTCTACTTCACTAAATTTGATCAATCAACTAAACATTTCAAGCAAATTCTAAGCAAAACAAAAGCAATCTAAAAAATTATTAACTGCGTACACTGAGCAAACCCAATTATTAGTAGGCAGCAGCTGTTTATGTGGGACGCCACACATCAGGATCCTCCATTAAAGTGGCCCTCTGCTGATCTGTCACAATGCCTGAGGGCGATGTGGCCATTTGAGGCGAAGCCGCAGCGGCCATATCTTCTCTTGACGCTCTTAATTATTTGATTTGGTGTTAGGCAATTAATTAAAAATCCAAAAATACCACATAAAAATAGACAAAATAGGGTTAGGTACTTACTTTCTGCCTAGAGCCATCATTCCGTAAAGAATGCCAGTGGTGAAAATTAAACCACTTCCAAAAAAGGTGCTCATTCCAAAGTCAATTATGATTGGTGGAATGGCAATACTGCAAACAGATTTTCATGAATTGTTGTTCCAAAAGTAAATCATTTATGGGTTAGTTACAACCAATCAAATCCTTGGAAAACTGACTTACATTTTATCTGTGCTTGCGCTCATTATGAATATTATTCTAATCCTAAGTATATTCTAATTTTAAATATTGGCTTTATCAATTAAACTTTTTATATTAATTTATGTATATTTATTTTGGATTAATTTGATTTGATACTTTCTGTTGTTTGTAGAGAAGTCAAACTACGCATAGACATATAATATACATATTGTATATTTTTGATAAATAAATATTCTAGTAAATATTGTGATATTTTTGTGTCTCCATCTAATGTAGATTTGGACTCAAGTAAAAACCTTCAATGCTATACAAATAAATTAATTTATTTCTGAACTTTTGAAATATTTGCAAACACATGATGTCCCTTCCAACATTCAAGTAATCTCAGTAATACTTGAACAAGATACAATTTCAAACTTATTCGATTATATTCAATTCAATTCAATTCAATTCATATGAACCGAGACATGGACATTTAACATTATCCAATATAACTTTGTTGACCAACCAGAAACAACTATTCTGATGGAAATAACAACAGCAATCAGAGGGAGCAGTAAACAAAATCTTGCTTTTGTTCTCTATCAGTATCACCCCCACTCACTCAGAATGCCATATGTTCAAGTTTAATGCAAATATTTCATATTTGGCTCTAGGCCCTCCATTGTTGGCCAACCAACGTCAAACGCTGCTCTACTCCCCTTCCTTTTGCTTACAAGTTGAGCACGAAATGAGCAGACTGACGGTAAATTACTAGGATTACTTAGATCTGAATTCGATTACTTTAAATCTGGTTAGGCTACTGAACCATCCCTTGTAACAAGTTGGCACAAATATCACAAAGTTGACAACACAAATTTATGAATCTTTGTAATTAAGGTTTAAAGTCAACCCCTATTTTCTAAACCTTGTGTTCAAAAATTCCAAAAAAAAATATATGTTTTATGGTTATCGATATACTTTAATCCATAATTTTTTTAAGCAAATTTGACGCGCCATTTGTGAGTTATATCGCAAAAACTGAAAAAAAAGTAGTTTTTCACCATTTATTTCAAAACGAATAGATGAAGTTTCCCATTATTTTTATGACGAACTACTATTGCAATTCTACGCGACATATGTTTTTTTCAAATTTTTTGAACTTGTAGTTTTTTCGCTACTGCAAAAATAGTTGGAAATACGCCCGTAGCTACACTGTTTAGAAAGAAATCCGACGGATGGTTGTTCAAAATTTTTTGCGTTGGTCGAAACTACAACCCTGTTTATGTAAAATAGAATAGTACTTCGAATTTCCGCCAAAAAAAGAAAAAAATTTCCATCACATAATTTAACCAAATGCAGATTTCTATTTTTTTTTTGACAGACAAGTTAGGGCACACTATAGAGGCGACAGCATTGACATCTCGCGTTGCTGTGATAAACTATAGGCCTGACTTTAAACCTTAATTAATGTCATTGGAAATAAGTAAGAGTTTAAAAATCTGATCCCATAAGTTTATAGAGAAGATTGTGCTAGTGCTTATTGAAAATTATTGGTTTTTGTGCAGTAGGTTTGTTGGAAAAAGTATAGCTTCAAGATACAAGCTTAACTTTTCTGTGTTGCACATTTTTCTTTGTAGGTACCTTAATGCTGTACTGATTATTGATTCAACAATCAACATTTGCCTGTCTGTAGGACCGGCTAGGGCATGCATGCTTCTTTCAGAGTTTTTTTTCCAATTCTTTCAAAGTTTGAGTTCTCATCAAATAGAATACTAAAATTTGCCTAAAACTAGTAGTTCTTATTTTATCTGGTTGAGTGATATCATGAAACTAGAATATGTTGCAGTGAGTTCTTGTCAGAGGCAGAATTGGCAGAAAGGACAAAGCAATTTAACTACATTTAACTACTTACCTATGCCGAGGTCAAATGAACTTTCTCAAAAAAAAAATCTATAATAATTTAAATTTAACACACTCCTACTGCTTTTCAAGGATCTGATTAGTTTTCTTTGTTAGAAAAACATTGAAATTTCTTACACAACATAAAACAAAGCCCTATTCCAAAAGGGCCTATTTTCCACAGCATCACTTAATCGTTGTACATGATCAATGAACATGCAACAGCAGGGTGCTTCGACACAGAGAACCAGAAAACCTGCCACCATTTGCCACATTCCAGCTACGAGGGCTGCAACGTTGATTACCAGAATGGCAACACAGTTCCATAATCCCAGAAAGATTGCAACTAAACGAAATTTTAAATGAATTTTTGTCTCGAGTGAATTGATAATAATTTTATACATACTGCCTCCACCCACTGTTCCAACACCCCTGCCAGCAACTTTCAACCACCAAGGAATCTCGTCTTTTGAAACGGGGTCCTGGCCTGGTCTGGCCATTAAGGCCGAGATTTTTTCTTGGATTGACTGCAACAAACATGAAAATATTCTCTGGTTATTTGAACAACTAATGTTTCTTACCATTTTCTGTTTTTTTGTAGTGTATTTCTATTTTTTGTGTCTGTCTGCCAGCAACCTACAAAAATGGCTGACGCTTTTGGGGGGAGTAGGATAAATGACAATGATATGAAAGACATTTGGGTGCATTTTCAAAACGGTAACCGGTCGGTTGACGGTTGATTATTTCGGTTTCATACGAAGAACACTTAGGACCGGTCTAGTTTAGCTGTCGATTAACTAATGATAATTATTAATTAACTGATAGCCAAACTAAATAAACGTCCACTGATAAACCGGTCCTTAACCAAATAGGCTAAATACTTGTGACGTCAGCCGCAGACCTCAAATCTTGGCGTGGCGTAAAATGCATTAGAGCCGTTTAACACGGCAACCGGCAATAGTTATTTAAACAACAAGTTTTGAAAACGAGTTTTTTCGCACGGCGAGACAGTTTGTTCGACCGAGCCGTAGGCGAGTTCCACAAGTCGAGCAAGTGTGAAAAAAGGTTTTCAAACGAGTTTTTTACAATGCTTTTCCTACAACTGCAAAATAAAAACAACCAAATATATAATTTCCATTTATTAGAAAACTTGAAGCGTGTGAAAAACTTTTTCGCACGCTGAGGAGCGTGTGAAAAACTTTTTCGCACGCTGTGCGAAAAACTCTAATTTCAGAGGTTGCCTAGCGTGCGAAAAACTCCATTTTCAGAGGCAGTCGTAGGAAATAGTTATTTAAACAACAAGTTTTGAAAACGACTTTTCTCGCACGGCGAGACAGTTTGTTGGACCGAGCCGTAGGCGAGTTCCATAAGTCGAGCGAGTGTGAAAAAAGGTTTCCAAACGAGTGTTTTACAATGCTTTTCCTACAACTGCAAAATAAAACAACCAATAAATATGTCATTTTTATTTGTTAGAAAACAAATCATAAACATCAGAAATTGGTGACAATCGCAATTTATGTCATGTCATGTTAGGATGATAGGACCTAAATAAATAAAAAACAAAAAAACTAAGAGCAGCGTGTGAAAAACTTTTTCGCACGCTGTGCGAAAAACTCCATTTTCAGTGATTGCGAAAAACTATATTTTCAGAGGCAGTTGTAGGAAAAGTTACTTTACGAAATTATTCACGAAATTGTTGCCGAAATATTTCGTAAGGCAACTTTTTCCTGTTTTACATTACAAGAAAACCTTACGAAATATTTCGCCAATGAACTTTAGAAAATGTTCCATAGTCTTTGTGAGCGCGGCCGAGAAAATGCGTGAGTTTCGGCGCACACAACAAAATAAAAGGCGCATGTTTTTCTTCCAAACCTTATTATGAATCCGTCATTGGATTTCCTATGTAATAGATAAAGAAAGATTGACTGCTTCGATGGGTCAACCGGCACCGGTGGAACAAGTCAAAGAGAATACACACTTTTAAGGAGTACTTATCCAAGGATGATACACACTACTACAGGATGGCCTATCCTCATAAGGCCGTGTGTAACAAATCCCCCTTTACCCTCCCTTGCCAAACAACCAGTTGTGACGTAAGTAGCTTGGCGTTTCTCGCCTTGACGTATAGGCTGTTTAAACAGCTGACGACTTAGTTATGACGTCGGCAATGGTTGAAAACAGTTGAAAACCAATATGGCGGCGATTACCAAAAACGAGGCCGGTGAGCACTCCTTAGAGTGTGTATTCTCCTTGGTGCTTATCGGCCTCGTTTTTGCGGTATTCGCCGCCATATTGGTGTGCCACCATTGGCCATTGCCAACGTCATAATTAAGTCGTCAGCTGTTTACACAGCCTACGTCAAGGCGAGGAGAAATAACATGCTGCCTACGTCACAACTGGTATTTTGGGGCGTGGGGGAATGGGGGATTTGTTACACACAGGCCTTATGAAGATAGGCCGTCCTGTGGTAGTAGTGTGTATCATCCTTGGAAAAAGTGTCGCGTCCAAAAACATAGGGTTGGAGGGACAGTACCGCTGGGCAAAGCCAAACAAAAACAAAACTTATTCATGGAAGGAAAACAGAAATTCAACTTCATGAAACTGCAGAAGAGTAAACCATACGAAATATTTCGGCATTCCTGAGAGCGAAGACACAATAACAAATACAAAGTACAAGTGACAAGATACAAAAATAAAATAACACGTGTATCAATGCTATATATAGGAATAAATGAATACAAGATACAATTTACGAATTTACTTGCCACATCGATACAAAAAATAAATTAAATAATATTTGAATAAACTTTGTGAAACGTGAAACCAAGTATGCAAAGCAAAGCAAGAGCCCGTAGAATCATAACGTGGTGCAAACAGCCTACATCAAGGCGAGAAAAGGCATGCTACCTACGTCACAATTAGTGATTTGGCGAGGTGGGAGGCTTCAGATTTGTTCCACACAGGCCTTATGAGGATGGGCTATCCTGTAGTAGTAGTGTGTATTATCCTTGATTCAATCCAGCTGTCAGAAAAAAAAATCAATATGGCGTCGCGGCAAAGCTTTATTTTGAATATATGTTTTTTATGCGTATTTTAGTAATTTTTTGGTTATTTTGCTTTGAGTTTGGCTTACAATCCCGAGAAAAGGACAAAGGACAATGTGTCCTAAATCTACAAGACAGGGACCCATTATCACAAAGATAAACGAGTGCTATTTTGCATCATGTCTTCAACCATCATAAGTATTATGGTTTAATAATAGGAAAACCAATGCACTGGAGGCGTGTTGAGGCCAAATTCGGGTACCTCCGACAGGACAAACCACTGGACAAACCGAGATTCAACTGCAAACTGGAACAAGGTGGATAGTGACGTGGGAGAGGCGCTCCACCTCTCCATTAGCCCCCGGACGCACTTGATTTCTGTTGGCGCCATTGTAGCGATTAGAAACTCCATCTGTCAAAAAGAAAAATTTAATATGGCGTGGCGGCCAAGTAATTTTGTTTTGAACAAAGCATATTCAAAGGTTTTGAATATGTTTTGAATATGTTTTGAATATGCCACGCCATCTTGAGTGTCACGTGGTTTGGATTACAACAAATGTTGCGAAAATAGAAAACAACATAACCACATAACCTCAAAATTTTCAACTCACAACATTCAAGAATCAAGACAAGAACGGTTGAAGACAAAAATGGTGAACCCCCTTTTTATCTCACTATGCATTATTTTAGCCATAGTAAGCTAATTAATTGAAATTAGTAGCTTAAAAATTTACCAATAAATTATATTTTAGCTTTTTGGTAGAATGACAAACGTTGATATAATGATGTACGAGAGCAAACTTTTGGCTCAAGCTAGTGATATTATTGAAAGGGGCAATTTTTCTTATTATTATATTTATAGTGCTGGACCGCTTATCCTAAATTTAACATCCTTGTAAGTTACTTAAATCTCTAGTAATTTTTAATTTAAAAGTTTGTAAATCATCAAGGTTGGGTGATGCAGATTTATATATTTCGGATACAAACATGTATCCAACTTATGATGCAGATTCTTATAAGTTACATTCAGCCACTTGTGGACAAGATATTATTGAAATTCCCGAAAGGTATTACCAAATACATAAATAATAATCCTATTTCCCATGACTAAAATCCATTTTTTTAGTTTTGAATATCCATTAGCAGTAGGTATATATGGCCATGCAGAATACAGCGTTTTCACCTTGGAAATTTGGGATGTCCCAAATTATGAATATAAAAATAAATATTGGTTGTTGGTAACTAAGGATGCACCAACAAATATTGACGAAACCACTAGAAATGAAGACACCAATAAAAAAACTAACAATAAGCCAATATCTAAGAAAAAGAAAGCCAAATCTACTAGTTCAACTGCATCCAGTATATTTTCTTTGTTGGAAGTGATACAGTTAATTTTTCTGTGATAGTCTGTTGGAAAGAGAGGAAGAAGTTTTCTAAATTTTGACTTAAAGTAACTACCTATAACCAAGAGGGACAGTTACCTATATTAACTACCATTTAAAAATGCATGTATTTTCAAATAGGAAACTGAGTAGGAAGCCAGAATTGGTGTCACTCTCCATTGGTCGAATATAAGTAAAAAAACAACAAAAAAATTAAATTTTATCAGTTGGCTCTTTGTGACATGTGAATAGCTTGTAGCAACTTTAACTTTCTCACGAGTTCTTGCCTTTTTGGAAATAGTTCTATAGTTCCCCGAGGGGCGCAATTATAGTTCTGCAGTAGAAGTTATTGGTTCTGCTTCTAAAAGAGTTTTCAGCATGAAAGCTGTATCTAAATTTTGATCCTTGTAGCAAAAACGTTAATTCTCTGTGTGTTTTTCTTCGAAGTTCTGAATAGCATTTTTTTAGTATTTCAATATTCTTTTATGAAAAATCACTTAGTAAAGCTTGAACACAGGGGTGCTCCTGGAAAAAACCATGTTCTTGGCATCAAGGCAGCGGCATGCGATTGCTCTAGTGACCGAGTGTTTTCATAGTTCTGAATAGCAGTCTATAGCATTTTGATATTCTTTTATTGAAAATTACTTTTCAAAGCTAGAACTCAGTGGTGCTACTTGAAAAACAACAATTCTCAGCATCAAAGCTGTACTTGTTATTCTTGTAGCTAAAACGTTCATTCTCTAGAGGTTTGCAGTAAACAATGTATAAGCAGTACGCCGTCACTTGGACTACATTATCCACTATGATACATATATTATGCAGCATAGTAAGGAATGTATGTGGAATACAATACATCGTTACTTTGGTAACTGTAGTATCAGAGAGCAAGCTAGTTTGATGGAGAATTCGTCACAATCAATAGCATCAACATTACATCGGAACCCAAGCACCCAAGTCTTACCAAAGTTGAAAAGCAGTCCATTTGCAACACAGTCATCACACCAACATTTAATGGCCCTGATGTCCCCAAAAATTACCTGAACCAGCTCATCAGAACTTCCCTTGTGCCACACAACCGTTGAATCATCCGCGAACGCAGTGAAGACTCCCGATATATCAAGGTAGAGAAGATCATTGATATAGATGAGTTCGAACCACCTGGAGATCATACCCCTGAAGCTGTAGACCCCTTACTTCCTCAGAAGAGTTCTGTGACGTGACTCAAACAGTCAAAGGCCTTTGAGAAGTCACAGAACACCCTCGCGGTAGCAAAGCCATTGTTGTAGTGCTTCAGGAGTAGTTCCAAAACGCATGGCATCATGGGTACCCTTCTTAAGAAGGAATCCAAATTGGGCGGAGTTAAGAATTTTATGTTTTGATAGGAAGTCTATCATACGTTTTTTGAGAAGCTTCTCAACAACTTTGGATATTGTTGATAACAATGATATTGGGCGATAATTTGATGATTCTTTTGTATCCCCGCTCTTATGTATCGGTACTACCAATGCGTCCTTGAGACTAGATGGAAAAATGTCCGATGAAAAGGACAGGCTGATTGCTTCCGATAGAACGCCAAGGGCCTGTTCCGGAAGTTCCCTCAAGATTTTTATGGATATACCATCTGAACCGGCTGTGAACTGTTTTCTAACGGATTTAAGAACAGATCCTACTTCATGGACATCGGTGGGAAAAAATGAAAAAGACTCGTTGACATGCAAGTCTCCGAGATAACTCAATGGATCAACATTCGATTTGACGGCTGCAGTAAGGTTATCAGCGACAGTGCAGTAAAAGCTATTTAAGTCTTCAAGATCAATGTCAATTTCTTGAGGTCTGAGGCTTTTTTTATCTGTAAGCTCTCTCACGATGTTCCAGGTTTCCCTAGATTCATTTTCATTTTTTTTTTTTTTTTAATTTTTTTTCTTTTTTTTTCCCCTGTAATAAGCGTTAAGTTTGTTGGGAAATAAAAGGAAAGATATTAGCAGCATTGCTTAAACGATTAGAGTAGAATAAGTGTTTAGCAGTACGGATCTCTACGGATAGATTTCCTATACATTTTTCTATATTTGAGATAATAGTTCAAGATAAAAGGACTATCAACAAAGTGTTTTCTTATGAGATTTAAAGATCTTAAGTTAGTTGCAGAAATCTTTAAGCCCTTTGTCATCCAATATTTCCGGTTACCCTGTTTACGAAGGGGCCTTGGGGGAAAAGATTTATCTATGACATTACTCAGAGTAAGATGGAATTCTTGAAGAGGATCTGCCCTAGAAAGGATGGATTGCCAAGGGATGTCGTTACAGGTTTGCTTAAAATGAGAGAAATTTTCCCTGCTAAATATTCGGCGTTGCTTCTTACGATTTTGAATAGGCTTAACTTTCACAGGTGATGAAGCTATAATAGCACTGTGATCTGAGAGGCCAGGGTCAGTATCAAGATCGGAATCAAGATTAGAGCAAACGTAGTCTATCGTAGTGGAGGTGGTGACTGTTGTCCGCGTGGGTTTGTTAACATGCATTCAAAGATTGAAAGACTGAAGTAGGTTGAGTAGAAGAACGGTCGAATACCTCTCGGGATCGCCAAAATCTATATTAAGGTCTCCCGCAACTATCAGTCTGGAATTTGGTGGTATGTTCGAGAGAAGTACCTATTTCAAATTAATCCACAAAGTCCGAAACGCAAGTGCCAGGGAAACGATAGATACAGAGAATATATGTATTCAGGGACCTTAAGAAGAGTAGAGAGAATTCAAATAGTTTTTCAGACAATAAAAAGTCAAATTTATCGCAGTCGCAGAAGTCCGAGCTGGATAAATTTCGAAACTTATCAAGATAGTGGTCCCTCCATTTTTAAAGGTTGTTCGACAAAATTTAGATAAGACGTAATAATTAGGGACATCGAAAGGTCGCCTGAAGCCAATGTTCCATAAGAAGGACGAGATGAGGGAGTTTTTTAGTTTCCAGAAAGACAAACAATTCATCGGCCTTGCCCCTTGGGTGACTGAATGTTCAAAAGCCTGAGCGTGACAATCGTGACATTCGCGGAGGGCCTCCTAACTGTGTTAGTTTCTCTCCTAAAAAAGAGCAGGAAGAGTTGAGATTTGTGGCACTTCCGTCATATATATATGTATATACATAGAGTGACCCACATGAAATGAAGCTGATGATGCTGAAATTCTGCATTTCCTGCTTCTTTACCTATGTTAGAACGTAAGTTATGCAAGATCAAAGTTTTTTTTTTTTTCGTTTTTCTTAAATTTTCTATGTAAAAGACCATGCGTTTTCAAATGATCCGAGGTTTCAATTTATTAATTGTACATAAGCTTGTTTTGCATCCTGTATGTAGTAATACCTACGCTGCATCGTATTATTGTCCAGAAAAAACTACAATTTTTACTAATTAGGTAGTCATGCACAATAATTATTTGTTACTATAGGTAGTTAGGTGTTGAAACTTTTATGATCTAATGTTTGTTGATGATGATTTTCCATTTGAGACATTTTTTGCCGTCTTTCGCGCAAGGACAAGCTTTAGATATCTGCAAAGAACATTTTTAAAAGAATTGTTATCGACACGAAGATTTTGTATTACCTCTGTTTGTGCCATAGAATCTATGTTCAAATTGGGAGTGTCATGTGAAGCCTCCTGTAGTTCTCTTTTAGCCGAATCCAAAGTATTCAAAATGGCATCAGATGATTTTTTGCCTGCAATATTAAATTTTTATTCAAAAATAATAAGGACTTTTTTTTATCAACTCTTAAAACTCGGTTTTTCTCTATCAAACTATTAAATAATACAATTTATGACATTTTTATTAAAAAAGTTCAAATAATGGGAAAGCTCTCATAACCAGACACTTCAGGTTCTTCTGATTTGGTCCTTATATTAGAGATGGTCGCCTAATAGAGATTGTGAATAAATTACAGAATGTGAACACATAACACATACTAAATGAAATAGTTGAATAAAATACCACTTATGAACTGAAAAAACTATTTTACAGGTTATTTTGATATTCATGGTTGGCCTTTTCAAGCTAGTCTTCATAGAAGATAATAGGCAGAAAAAACTGACCCCTGGGGTTTATTTGAAGCTACTTTTTTATATTTGCTGGCTATGCCTCTCTGTGCAGACATGTATTTAATATTTTTCATTGAAACAACTCCTTTATACAAATTCGAGTCAATTCTATGCACATCTGTAAGCAAATCTTGGCAATCCATGGGTTTTGCAGTGTCTTACAGAAAGTTATGGATTTGCTTACAGATGTTAGTTCAAAACATTGTGTGCCACATAATATCTGCAATGGTATTCATTCAAAAATCCAAAGCTGGACTTTGAATGCCCATTAATGAAAAAAACCTCCTCTAAAACATTTATATTATTATTACGCTTGATATTGAGACAATACACTTCTGGAATTTGAAACAAGTTGTTTTCGTTCCTCGTATGAAAATCAGGCTTCACGTTTTTAAAATTCAAACTTTCAATTGTGGCTTGGATGTCCCGTGGCATAGACACATTGTTATTTTTATTTTTTCTTGATTTGATATTTAAGGAGTCCTCGCTTGCCCGACAAAGATCCGAGAGAACCTTACTAAGAAAAAGGCAATTTTATCATGAATAAATAAATTTTGTAGAAAATTGCTTCACCTGTCTGTTATCTACAATTTTACTTCTATAATCTTTATTTATAATTCTTTTCCTAAACTCTGCATAATTTTTGTCTGGTCTTGATGGCCTTGATAGTGGATGCTCTGGATATGGACAAGGAGCAAATCTTCCTATTCGTTTAGATTCTAGTGGTCGCTTTGTTTTAAATGATATAAAATCCTCCTTTGAATCCCGGAGTAGTTTCAGACCATTCAATTGAGTTTGGCTTACGTCTCCCTCAGCTCCGGATATTGGTTGTTTGGCCAAGCTGTCTTTTGAAGAAGATTGGTTGGCAGCAGTACTGGAATTAGTCTATAATATAAAAATAATTGATCGATGCCTACGCCAATAAATAATTGGTTCTTACATTAAATTTAATATTGGTGGAATGTACAGGAACCAAATCTAAAAGTTTCTTTGGAGCTGGCCTAATGGCCAAATTTTCCACAATATATTCGTATTCAGTAAATTCTTTTCCAAAATATTGGAAGATTACCTCATCAGAATTGGCTCCTTCTGGACTTTCTGAGCAGCATCCGCATAAGAATTTATTTTGGGGGTTCATCATTTGATTTTCTGACATTTGCATCCTGAAATTTTGACAAATAAATGTCAAATTGACTGCAGAAAATAGTTAGTGATATGCATTCAGCCTCTGAGGAATTTGAGCGTCCTCCAAATCCAAAATATAAGGCCAATATCTTTTCGACTCTCACTTTTTGGTATGTTTACTCATTATACTAGACTCATAAAAATTTAAATAATAATTAAGGTCTCGCACATGCAGGTATGCGATGAAAACATTTAAAATTGGCAGAAAACGTGAACTGGAAGAAACGGATCTTACGGAACCGCTGGAAGAGCACAAATCGTCAGTTTTAGGGGAAAAATTGGCGCGAAATTGGGCCAAGGAAGTGGCAGCTCGTAAAAAAGAAAAGGGTAAACCCAGCCTGTCTAAAGTGATCATAAAAACGTTCCGTCATGATATCGTTTTCTATGGAATTATTTTATTTGTTATGGAAATTTGTGTGAGGTAATTAGGCTACAACTTTTTTTAAGTAACAGTTATTTTCCATTATTTCATTCCAGGCTTTTGCAACCGATTTTTTTAGGACTATTCATAAGATATTTTAATGCAAGCAACATTGAAAGTACAGAAGAGTAAGTTAATAAATAAGCCTTGAGAGGAATCAGAAATCAGTCAGTATCCTTAAAAATTGTCGTAAGCAGGATCTGTTAAGCCTGATTCCTTGAGAATGCCATATACCTAGATCTTTAGAAGAAAGTTTGCAAATCGTTTCTGGATTATTTTTGAGTAATCAATCAATTAATCACTTGCTTGATTGTCCAAGAGCAAACATAAAAAAGTTATCGCTGTAAAATTAGTCTTTCTCGAACAGCAATATTTTTGAACTGTTTCGTATACATCATATTCAAATATGGAAGGTAAAGTATGACCTTAAAACTCCTCAGAGCCTCAACAGAGTAGAAACTGCGTTTCGCAGGTTTGTCACCAGACGAGGGCGATGCAGCATTCTATTTAGCAATCAAGGTACTAACTTTGTCGCCACTGCTAAAGAGCTCGATAAAATGTTCGAGATGTCTTGCCATGCCGAAAAGGTAAAATGGTCTTTCAATTCTCCTTCCTCCCCCCATTTTGGTGGGCTATTCGAGGCGGAAATCAAAATAATTGGTGAGCAGGTTCATATGAGGAATATTATATACGGTAATTTGTCAGGTAGTCTATTCTGAACTACAAACCTTATATGCCCTAAGTAATGACCCCCACGCCCACGACCTATCGGTACTTACCGCGGGTCACTTCTTAACTCTAGAACCTCTTACTTGCCTTCCAGATCCAGACCTCACGCATCTTGCGTTGAATCGCTAAAACCGCTGGCAACTTCTGCAAAGATTGCAGCAAGATTTCTGGAAAAGATGGCATTTGTCCTACCTAAACACTTTTCAGCAACGGCAAAAGTGGGACAATGGAATCCCTGACTGAACTTGATATAAACTCTGTCCTATTAGTAAAGAATGATCAACTTCCTCCGTTGAAATGGCGAATGGGTTGGGTCATCCAGTTGAATGTTGTAGGTTAAATTGGGTATTTAGGATATCAAATCCTATTTGGGAATGGAAATTGATTCATTTTTTTTTTCTTTATTTGCATATATGCCTAAGAATTGATACGGCTATGCTAAATTTCGCTTTTAAAAATGCGCGCGTTAAATAGGTACTGAAAAAGGATAACTGCAAAGAACTCACATTGACGAGTGAAATCAGTCGCCAAAAACACTTCATCCGTTTCGTGTGGTTCGAGAAAATTAACCTGTGGTTTTTCGTTTGCCGCGACCGGTTTCAATCAAGACGGTTTCGTTTGTACTCCTTCGCATTGGACTTGAACTTCCTGAAAGAGTTGGCCAGCTGAGTGGAGTTTGGAAGTAAAGCCAGGTAAGGTGAAAAAATATCCTTTTCAGTTTCGATATCTTTCAATTTCAATTTAAAATCTTTCATCGAATACCATTCTGTAGTTGAAATTAAACTTCTGCTTTCTGATGTATCAGGCTGTGGCGGAAAATATGAAAATTGTTAAGTGGACTGTATGATTTGAAAAAAATGGAAATAAATACCTATTTAAACCCGGTACGCACAGATCACTTACCTTTGAAAAGGTTTCTGTTGGTTCTGGTACTGGTCCAAACTGAAGCGTGTTGACTGTAGCAGAGTACTCTGTAGCTTCTTAGGGCAGTAAAATAGGGGCAGTTTCGTTGTAGTAACGGAACCGTCCGATACGACACGAATTTGTACGGGTCGCGTAGCGAGAGTGTGATGTCTACTCTGCGGCCGAGAATATAAGTATATCGTTTTTAAAATCTTGGACAAGGCAGTATAAAAATGCAGCTGCTTCCAGCAAGTGACGTGTGCGCATATGATAAACGAAAAAAGTCGCTAATGAAAAATATAGGCACAATCGAACTTTCTAGATTGCTCTATACAAACTAAAATAGGCAAAAAGCCCTTTTGAAAGTTTCCTAAACACAGGCTGTTATAAATATTTGATATATGTATACCTAATGCATGATAAACCATTGGACACTATCAGAGTTTTAATTTTGTACAAAAATAGTCAATCAGTTTAAAAAGAACTGAGTGATTTAACTATGCAACTAATCATGCAGGAACAAAATTAGAAATAATCAATAATGAAAATGAGTCAGAAACGTTTTGTCTTCCAAAGATCTAACTGGTTTCTTTACAGAAAACAAAAATCAAAGCTATTCTAGATTGGATTGCAAGCATCCAATTCCTTATTGAAACAAACACAATTTTGTCAATCTGAAATTCCAATATTGTCAATTTTAGGCAATACCCTCCTATGTACATAATGCGAGTTTTCTTCTATTTTTCCAAAAATCAAGGCCGCATTTCGATAGAAGAGGCATTCGTTTTTGCTATCTGCATCATGGGGTGTAGTTTCATTACAATAGGAACCTTCCACCCTTATATGATGGCAGCACTGCATGTGGGCATGCGGGTTAGAGTCGCCTGCTGCTCACTCATCTACCGAAAAGTAAGAATTACGTTTGAATTTTTATAATAAATAATTATCATTGATGTGTTCTAGGCGCTTAGAATCCGGCTCACAGATCTTGGTGGTAAAACGGTTGGCAATACTGTAAACCTAATGTCAAATGATGTTAATAGGTTTGATTTTTCACCGCCTTTTTTGCATTATTTATGGATAGCGCCACTTCAAGCTGGACTCATTGCCGTATTTATTTACTTTGAAATGGGAATTTCCGCGTTTTATGGAATGATTGCAGTTGCTATTATTATGCCTATACAAAGTAAGTCAATATTATAATGGTAGACTATCTTTGTGTTGCCAAATTGTTATCATTGGGTACCTCTGCTGCTGATAAATTTCGTTTTTATCCCATTTCATTGTCTTGCGAAGTTCCTAAATAATGATTTAGGTCCTATTTGATTTTATTGTTAAGGTGTTTTCATTCGGGCTGAATGGCCGTCGTAAGTTGGAATTTCTTCCTGACGTTTCGCTAGCATCTTCAGAGGTGCTTCCAAGTCCGATTCTGGTAGCAGTCTGACGCGTTCATGAGAAGTCCCGCTAAGACCTATAGTAGTGCACCTTGAGGTAGTTTCCAACGCATTATCCTCAATTGAATGCGTCGACGCATTCATGATGACAGATTACGAGAGAGGGAAAGAGAGAAAACACCTCCTTGCCTCTGACAGCAGTTTAGTGGTTTATCTCTGGACAGCAGTCAGGTGAGAGATCGAGGAGGGTGACATTCTGCGGCGTCAACCTCCAATCCCGCAGCTCTTGCCTTGACCTTTTTGATTTCATTATTAAGTGTTCGAGTATCTTGTTGAGTAGAATAAAACAACCTAGTAAGGGTTAAAGTAATCAATTGTGTTATTGGAGTTGATCCCCTTCTGCAGACACGGACAAACCTCACGTCCTCGGAAAAAACGGGTGAATCATCACATTTGGCGCCCCACGTTGGGCGCCAAATGTGACGATTTGCCTGTTTTATTCCACTCAACAAAAGACTCAAAACACTTAATAATACACTCAAAAAGGTCAAGACAAGAGCGGAGATGGAGGAAGGTGACATTCGGTGGCGTCAACCAGAATTCGGTCATGGAAGCATCTCTGAAAATGCTAGCCATGCGCGCTAGCGAAACGTCAGGAAGAAATTCCAATGAAAACACCTTATCAATAAACCTGGGCCGCGAAAGCCTCACAAACTTTATTTGATTTTAGTCCTTCTAAGCTTAGCAACCATCAATCTTCGTCTAAAATCAGCAGACAGAACTGACAACAGGGTGAGACACATGAACGAAATAATACAGGCTATACAAGTGATTAAAATGTACGCGTGGGAGAATGCTTTTGCCCTAATGATCAGTGGTTTGAGAAAGTAATAATTATTCCACAAAACTCATAAGTATCTATTAATTCTAATCCAATTCTAGAAAAGAACTTGCGATACTATTGCTGACCTCATACATACGTGGAATGACAATGTCGTTTGTAATGTTCACCTCGCGTTTGGGTATATTTTTGACTGTCCTAAGCTATGTTCTATTGGGCCATGAAGTGACTGCAGAAAAAGTTTTCGTCATCGGTGGTTTTTACATGATTATTAGGCAAAATATGACAGTGTATTTTCCTCAAGGATTAAATTCGGTATACCTACCTACCTTTTATTTGCAGAACCAGTGTTTCATTTTCTGCTGGCAAGGATAAAAATCTATGCCTAGACCTGTGCACTGATAAATGGAAAAAAAAATCAAATGAATAATGATGATTTTCTAGGTAGCAGAAACCAGTGTGTCGATAAAGCGTATTGAAAGTTTTTTATTGACTGGTGAAGCAACAGTAGGCGATCGTTGTGTCTTAGATCCAGACTTTGATACGTTCGAACAAAAACGCAAGAGAGGCTTTTATAGGCCAATTTTAAAGAAACTTTCCAGTAGTACCCTTGACTCTGTAATGATTTCAGTACCAAGCAGATTGTCATATAACCCTAGAATGAGTGTAAGGGAATCAGATAGCGTTAGAGAGGCTTTAGTATCTCTGACCGGGCTACCTTTGAGTGAGGGAGCAGAGGCGGAAGTTATTATTTTTAGAGGAATAGCCAAGTATGGAGAAGATTTGTGTTTGGATAATATTAATCTTGGTATGAAGGCAGGAGAGTTAGTAGCCATTGTTGGGGCAGTAGGAGCAGGAAAATCGTGCCTTTTAAATTTGATTTTGGGCGAACTAAAGCTTTTCAGTGGCAAAATTGCTGTTCATGGTGTTGTATCCTACGCTTCTCAGGAACCCTGGTTATTTGCTGGTAAAAAGTCTATTGACAAATTAAAATAATACACCAGGAGGTGTTGCACAACAAATTCTTGAGAGACAAAAAGCTTGAATGTGCTTGTTTTTCATTTAGACCTACTCTGATGTGTAATTTGATGTGCAAACCTCTGACAACTCTCAGTTGAATATTCATTAGTCACTAATATGACTTTAATTTAGGTTCTGTACGTCAAAATATTGTATTTGGCAAAGAATTCAATCCTGATAGGTACTATCAAATAGTAAAAGTGTGCGCCTTAAAACGAGATTTCTCCTTGTTGCCTTATGGAGACAGAACCATTGTCGGAGAACGTGGAATTTCGTTGAGTGGCGGCCAAAGGGCTAGAATTAATTTGGCTAGAGCCATCTATAAAGATTCTGATATTTATTTATTAGACGATCCACTATCTGCTGTTGATATTCAAGTAAGATTCCTTAAAAAAAAAATATCAAAATTCTGTACCTGTGATATTTTTAGGTAGGCCAACAATTATTCGAAGAATGCATGGTTCGTTTTTTGAAAGACAAAATCGTAGTTCTAGTAACCCACCAGCTTCAATACCTGAAAAGAGCCGATAAATTGGTTATATTAAGCGAAGGTGCTATACAAATTCAAGGCACTTATGACGAAATTAAGCAAAGCGGCGTATCTTTTGCTGTACTTCTTGAAGAGGCTGCCACCATAGCAGGGCCAGCTGAGCAAGACAAAGAATATGAGAAAGTTTTAAGAGCAATTTCTCTCACTAGCGCTGCTTTCAACAGTGCCATAGACATTGAAGGTCTTAAAGCAGGTCCTAGATTGACACCTGAAATGCGCACTCTTGGTAAAGTTAGCTTTACTAATTACAAGGAGTACTTTCTGGCAGGCGGTAATTGTTGTGTGCTAATAGTCATGGTGATATTTTTTATTGGAGCTCAATTCCTGGCAAGCGCGGGCGATTATTTTTTGAGCCAGTGGATTACTTTGGAAGAATTACGAGCGCATTTTGGCCACGCGGAAGACGCAAATTTTTGGAATCAGTTTTCGAGGGATAATTGCATCAATATCTATACTGGTTTTATGGTGGCAACCGTTATTGTGGCCATAACTAGGAGTTTGTTTTTTTTTTCGATTTGTATGAGATCATCTTTCAGGTAAGGACTTTTCAACTGCATTAATTTGACTAAAATACCTCATATTGTTCATTGAAAAGAATAGGTATCATAGAAAGGTACAAGAATGTTGACACATCTAAATTAAAGTGGAACATGACATAAATCACCCATTCAAATCAACCTTCACTTCATTGTTCTTGGCTGTGAAATTATATCGGGTCTTCAAAAAAAACAATCAAAGATTACTATGGTTTTTTAAACGTATGTCTGTCAACGAATTGAGAAAGTCGTAGGTACTGGTACATACAGAAAAAAACAAGGATCATAACAACAGGATCCGACATTCTCCCACCTGAGACACTACAGACATTTTTCATTACAATGTCTCATCATTTCGATACTTCGTTCAATATGATACTGTGAGACCCCAAATTCAGAAATTTGACAAGGTGTTCAATTGGCGAGCGGTGATTTTAGTTTCTGAGTAGAGACACAGTTTAAAGTGGGTCCTATTTGTGGGTAGAGAGTAAAACACAGAAATATTGTGGAAAGTTAAAATAAAGTTTATTTTATTGAAATAAATAATGCTTGTTATTAAATAACAGGCGTCGGTGATAAATAATCTTACAATAAAATTGTTAGATTTCTAATAAGCATCAATTAACTGTTAAGGAAAATTTATATAGTTCCAAGTAAATTTTTTTTATTTACAGTTTGACTCGATTCACACTCTTGCCTTCACAATTTCTGGCTGAACATAAAACTATTCTACTCACATTCAAAAATAATATATTTGCTGGTGGCCACACCTAATTACATGGAAATCTTATTGGTCGAAGAAATTTAGGCTTTATGAACATATAATAAAAAACCTCGAATATTTTCGCGCTGTTATTTCACGTCGTGCTTCTTCTCTCGGTTAATTCGACAACTCTTTCACGCCGCGTAGTTCTGACTTTCTGGACACAGGTCTCTCGATTCTCGATTACTACTTGTCTTTTTATTACTCAACCGACACTGGTCCTTCACGCCGTAGTTCTGCCGGTTTACTCGCTCTTTCTCGAACACTGGTTTTCTCCTGCCAAAGTTGCCTTTTTATATCATTGGTCCCTCCATTGTCTTGAAACTCTTTATTCTTTCTGACCTCGATTTTTTGTGTTGAATCATCCGATCAATTAGTGTATTTGGTCCCCTTTTAATTAATTATCAAAAGCGTCGCTAAGTGGTTTGTTAAGTGGGTATCATCATATAGGCTCGTGCATGATTTATTGATCCTTTCAGAAATCTTTCGGCTCCTTTGGAATGTTAATTGTTGAAAGCACTTAAAAAAAAGGTCCATGAATGTTTGCTTTAGTCACATTCCAATGTATTAGACAATATAGAGTATCGGCTTTCAATAATTTCTGGATATCGATAATTTTTAATTGAAGTTTCTGGTAGTGCTGTCTAAAAGATGATCTCTCCTGGTATGGTTGTTTGATAAGTCCTTGTTATTCTTGATTAATTTTCGGTAGTTGAATCCTAGGGCTTTAGTTGTTTAGAATAATCAGAACCTTTAATTGTTTTCTTGGTGGTTTATTTCCGCGTCACTACACCAGTGCCAATCTTGGAAGGTCATAGTTATTCTAGAATTTGTATTAATTCATGTAGTCACCAACTTCTTTTTCTTTTCACGGTTTATTTCTTCCTCAGTAAATTGAATCGTGCCTTGAGGCCAAGATTTTGGATTTCCATAAAGCCAACTTGGGCCCAACCACCATTTTGATTCTAATAACTTTAAGCAGAACAACCGCGCCATGGAAAATCCGCAGGATTTAGCGTTACCGGAACATAGCGTCATTCTTGACTGAGGTGTGCCGTCTAATCTCAGCTACATGAATGTATACAAAAGTTTCCTATGGTAATCCAGGAAAACACTGTAGAAGAATCGGTCCAAAAGAAACAATCAACGTCCAATTTAGGCCTTTCTATTAACGAAAAACACAATCTGGTACCGATAAGAGCGACCATCAACTCTAATCTAAAAATGGTTATTTCATGAAGGGGAGCCACCCTACTCTTCGCAGCGACAAGGTGTACAAAAACATTACCTTCACACAAGCATCTCAAGAAAATGACTGCTGCATTAGCAAATGTATGGAGACTCAAGTGCCGAGCCTCTCTTGATCCGGCATGTATTATCCAAGATATTTGAATATGAAGGAAATAGGGAAGATCCTTCAACCATTTATGGAAGAGTATTCCAGTTTCAGGATCCACATTCGCGTCCCATGTCAGTTTCATCTCCCAATTACTTTGAAGTAGCAATTTTGGAATTAATGTCGTAGGGCTTGCAAAACCAACTGGATCGAAAATCTTCGGAGCTAGAGAGAACATTTTCCGTTTAGTTACAGGCTCATTCCATAACTTAAAATCTTTTGTCAGTTTCAGTTTGCCTGTGTGTGTGTTGAGAAGAACCAGTGACTTTCAGCTGGTGAGAGAACTCCCCCCATCGCAAATCGACTTTGGCCTCAGCTATGACCATACTAGACTCCTGTATTAAACTCTTCAATGTAACATCATACGAAACATTTGTCACGCAGTTATCTACATGAAAGCTCTTGGATAACTTTTACAAATTTCCTTTACAATTGGGTCCCTTTTCAAGAGCCTTGGCAAGAAGATAATCAAAGTGGCTGCTAGAAAAAATGGAGTACTGCTCCAAACCATACTGGCATATGACGGAACACCTTCTCGCATTGCCATTAGAATCCACCCAGAGAAAGCGTCAAAAATCTCTGTCGGCTGCATGTATACTGATCTGAAAAAAAGCTGTTCAGTTTCATCTACGCGCCCCGTATATAGTTGTAGGTTAAATTGGGTATTTAGGATGTCAAATCCTATTTGGGAATAGAAATTGATTCGTTTTTTTTTCTCTTTATTTTGGTTTTCTTTTATTCTAATTGAATTGCGCGTGCTATGCCTAAGAATTGACACGGCTTTGCTAAATTTGGCTTTTAAAAATGCGCGCGTTGAACACTGAAAAAGGATATCTGTAAAGTCCTTACACTGCCGCCCATTTCGTGTGGTTCGAGAAAATAGACCCGCGGTTTTTCGTTTGCCGCGACCGGGTAAATCAAGACGGTTTCGTTCGCACTCCTTCGCATTGGACTTGAACTTCCTGAAAGAGCTGGCCAACTGAGTGGAGTTTGGAAGTAAAGCCAGGTAAGGTGAAGAAATATCCTTTTCAGTTTCGATATCTTTCAATTTCAATTTAAAATCTTTCATCGATTACCATTCTATCTGCAACCTGTGGATTTTCCAGTTTTAATTTCGCACAAAAGCTGCTATAACTCCTATTTTACCTTGTCGAAATCGTAGTGAAATATTTGGAATAAATTCGATCAAATTAACCCCCTTCTCCAAACACTGATTTAATGAAGAGGCATCTCGTTCCTTGGCTGAAACATCTAAAACAGGTCTAATGCGCGTGGTACTACCTTCTTTTACTACAGATCTGTGTGGCAAAATCAGCGGATATAAAATATCTTGTTGAAATGTCCTCTATAACGGGTTCATTTTCCCATTCATTGAAAACTTGATTGTGGGAATTTACAAGGTCAATATCTGCCAATTTGTTTTGTAGACGTTTCTTTGATGATAATTCGTAGGCAAGGGGAAGGAGTGTCCCTCAACCCAAGGTAGTCTGAGTCTGACTTCATAACCTTCATCTTCATTAATGATTCACCGTTTCAAGGAAAAAATCTGTAGCTGCTTGAGCCAATAGGTCACGTGATTGCTTGCGGTAGGTTCCTTTGTATTCAGAGTATCAAGCTGCCAAAGTTAAGTGATGCGTCGTTAACAAACAAAGAGCTGTTATAGTTTCATTTTTAGTTTTGTCTATAGGTTTTCGGCCCATAAGTGTCTATCCTAACAATGTTTCCATGGCCACCAACCCACACTTCTATGTCTTCGTCCAGTGTAGAGTTTGCCAGCAAGGTCCCATCCAATCAAAATTTCTTTAGGGGTAGCATCGTAACAATCACTAAGATGAATGCTTAACTTCTTTAAATCTTCCATCCAAGGACCGTCAAACAAAGGTGAAACGTCAAAGCAAATAACAGGCTGTGACAAGGCTTCAAAAGTACAGCTATAACTATTAGAACCTAATTTAACATAATAAAAATAATGTTTCAACTGTGTAGTTACTCCTCCAAACAAACAATGATTAACTGTGTTTTGACGTTTGGATTTCTAGCCTAACAATTCTGCTGTACTTTTTAAAATATAACAATTCTTGAGTGAGTACGCTCCTGAACCCATACACTCCTTTAATGGTAGCCCGTAGAGTTTGGAAAAACACATGGCTAGAAGTCCCATCAGTACAAGTTAATATTTCCACCGAATCCTGATAGATTCTTTGACATCTGGAAGATCATCAACTGACTTGCCTCCTGGCAAATTAGAACACAATAAAGTAACATGGGATTTGCCACAAATAATACATTTCAAACGGGCTCGACATTTCTGGCTCTAGTGTCCAATCTTCAAACATCGAAAACACTCCTTTTTTGATGAAGTAACAATTTCATTCCTTTTTTCTAGTGAAAAATGTTGTGCTTCAAAACAACTGCGATTATCATGATTGTTCTCACAAAAAATGCATTTGTTCGAAACTGAAGGTCTTTCATGGTTAATAAGACCAGTAGCAGTGGGAACTTCCTGCTCAGAGAAACTTGTGACCTTCTTTCTTACTCCCAACATTCCATGAGCACTAGCGATATTAGCATTGATGTGTTTCTGCTCCGAGCCTGTACGCAAACCCAAACTTTCAGTAGCCAGCAAAATGTCATTATACTCGAAGGCAATTAAAGTTATGCAATAAAGTTTTTACAGTCAAGTCACTCAAGTTTTCATGCATTAAAGTTTCAATGTCAATTCATTTCTCATCATTCCGAATCATTTATAAAGTCAAAAAAAAAAAAAACAATAATAGTCACTAGAGTACCAACATTTCGTCTGTAAATCACCAAACTAATCTAATTTAATTCTTCTGATTACTTAAAGCTCGCACATAAAGTTGAAGACTTTAAATGTTCTTTCTTTCACAATTTTCCGTACTTTTCAAAGTCCAATCAAACGCGTTTTCCCGAGGCAATAAAATAAAAGAAATTCTTCGCGAATGTTTATCCGGACTGACTCATTAGGTACTGTAGATTTAACTCAAACTGGACTGAACTGACAACTGCAATAATTCTTCTAAAACCGCTGTATTTATATTATTCGATCATCCTAAAATTTCTTTGTCCATCAATCATTAACCTTCCTTTTTTATTTGTTTAGAATTGAATAATTATGTCACAATTTCCTGGTTTATCTGGGTCAACAGATTCGGTTTAAGAATGTGAGGACAACACAAAAAAAGCCGAAAAACACGTGCGGCCATAAATCACCTATTTAATTACTTTGGCCTCGCTTTTAATAAGTTCATTGATTTGATTTAGGAGATGACATCACGCTTGGTGACTAAATAATAAAATTTTGAAAGTATATAAATATTTTAATTAATTTGGGGTCAACGTTATTTTGTTTCATTTTTAATTTGTTGATACTGATTTGAAATACAGGAAATTCAGTTTTTGATTATTGGATTACATTTAATTTTTACAGTAAAGACATTGTAAATTACGGGTCTATTTTCTCGGGTGATTACACTAGTTATCGAAGAACCATTTACACTCTGTTGGGAACCGGTAGGATTAGTAATGGTTAGAGATGAACGTTCCAACAGCCTTAACAAATTTTCTTGGAAACATGACTCAATAAGTGAGAATAACATTGCATAACAACAATCATATTTAACGCCCAGTGTCCAAAGCCCGCATTTGAGTCTCTATGCTATGCTCACAATGATTTTGAGTAATTCACGTACATACACCTCTATTTGCAAACAGTCAATAATTTCGTTCAACAAGTTGTCTTGCTGTGCTGCCTGGTAATGTAGCCTGCATCAACTATTCTACTCTGTCATTTAAATCTATCTCAGGATCGTCATGCACCTTACTAAATTGTGACCAAAATGGCAGCCAATTTTCAATACGACGTACGTTTTCGTAATCAAAGTAATCTTTGATTTTTTTTTTTTTTGAAGACCCGTAAGTAAATTACTCTCAGACTAGAAAATTACTTTCAGATTGCACAATCGAATGTTCGAAAGCATAATTTTAGCAGCCATGCGATTTTTTCATCAAAACTCGTCCGGTCGAATACTGAATAGATTCTCAAAAGATCTTGGCCAAGTGGATGAACTTTTACCAATAGCTTTTATCGATACCACTCAGTTATTACTCAATCTTCTGGGGGCTATAATAGTGGTTTGCGTTGTAAATGTTTGGTTTTTGATTCCTGTCGCCGTCATGTTGTGCCTATTTTATTTATTGAGACGTTTTTACCTCAAGACCAGCAGAAGTGTTAAAAGATTAGAAGGAATTGGTAAAGAAACAAACCAATAATTTATGTATTTATTTAAGTGAGATAATATTCTAGCTCGTAGTCCCGTTTTTGCTCATCTAAATGCCACATTGCAAGGATTAGCAACAATAAGGAACAATTGTGCTGAAAAAGAGTTAGTGGCGGAATTTGATTACTTGCAGGATTGTCATAGTAGCGCCTGGTTTATGTTCTTATACACTTCCAGAGCCTTCAGCTTGTGGCTAGACTGGATTACCGCCATCTTTATTGGTGTAGTTACATTTACTTGCGTCATCTACTCTAAATGTAAGAAAATACTTACTTCTATTAATTCATAAAATTTATTAACTTTTATTTTAGCTATTTACGGTAGCAGCGTCGGTTTAGTAATAACTCAAGCTATAGGTTTGACTGGTCTTATTCAGTGGGGCTTAAGACAATCAGCCGAGCTAGAAAATCAAATGACTTCAGTGGAACGCGTCCTAGAATTTACTAAAGTCGAGCATGAGCCTGATTTATTGAGTGCTCCTGATAAAAAACCACCTCCTGCTTGGCCTAAAAAAGGACTTATTGAGTTTTTGGATACCACTATGAGGTATAGTCCCTATGAACCGCCTGTTTTGAAGGAGTTGAACTTGACGATTTTGCCACAACAAAAAGTAACTAAAATATTAATTTAGAAAAAAAAAATTATTAAAATTAAAAAATTGAAAATAGGTTGGTATTGTTGGTAGAACTGGAGCAGGTAAATCCTCCCTTATAGTCACCCTATTTCGTCTAGCCTATTACGAAGGTGAAATTTACATAGACCATTTAGACATTAGTGTTTTGGGGTTGCATGATTTAAGGCGAAAAATTTCTATCATCCCCCAAGAACCCGTACTTTTTAATGGTACTCTACGCTACAATTTAGACCCATTTACCGAATATAATGATGACAAAATAATGGCTGCTCTGATAGCTGTAGAAGACAAGGAGGCAATGACGAAAGGCAAAGAATACTTAGAGAAAATCATGTCGGAGGGTGGTCAGAATGTCAGCGTAGGTCAACGCCAAATGATATGTTTAGCCCGTGCAATTTTACGTGACAATAAAATACTAGTTATGGATGAGGCTACTGCAAATGTGGACCCTCAAACCGACAAACTTATCCAGACCACTATAAGGACAAAATTCGCGCATTGTACTGTGTTAACTATAGCCCATAGATTACACACGGTAATGGATTCGGATAAAATAATTGTTATGGACGCTGGGGAGGCTGTAGAGTATGATCATCCTTATATTTTATTGCAAAATCCCAAAGGTTATTTTTCGGAGTTGGTCAGGAAAACTGGGTCTGGGACTGCGACACATTTGAGGAGAATTGCCAAACAGGTTTGTTGTTCAAAATAACTTTCAATATTTTTCGCCTACCGCTTTAATTTTTGGTTGTTTCAAGGTTTTTCGAAAGTTGCGTAAAAAATCCTGAAATGTAAAATTTTTCCATGTTTAGATTTTCGCCATTATGTTGCATTAATTTTATATACAGGGTGATTTACGTAGCCTGTGCATTAGATTGCAGGTGGATTACATCTCTAATCTAATCCACCTGCAATCTGGAAAACTTTTAATCATAAATCATGTTGTATTATTAAATTTTAATAAATATGATATTTTTTTCTAGAATTATGAAGAAAAACAAAAAGTTTCTCAAATATTAGAAAAAGACGAACAAGAACGTAGAGAATCTTTTGTATCAGCTACAACGAACCAGAGTTCCGACACACTCTAGAGTCAAAGGAGGCAGTGAACAATACAAACTTTATACTTAAAAAAATATAATATTTTTTATTAGGTATTTAAAACATTAGAAAAAAATCAATATTGCGAATTACAAAAATAAAAAATAGCGAATTTATCCTTAAACAGTTCTCTTCAATTCATCAGCGATAGCATCCAAGAAATCTTGAGTATTCATAAACATATTATCCTTAACCTTGTCGAAACCTCCAGCAATCGACGCTGCGAGATCTTTAGTAACTTTGCCACCTTCCACCGTTTTGATGCAGGCCTTTTCCAAATTCTGAGCAAATTTGACAACATCCGGTGTACCATCCAGTTGGCCCCTATGTTCAAGACCTCTTGTCCAAGCAAAAATTGAAGCAATCGGATTGGTCGAAGTGGGCTTGCCTTGTTGATGTTGCCTGTAGTGTCTGGTTACAGTACCATGAGCCGCTTCAGATTCAATGGTTTTGCCATCGGGACACATTAGCACTGAAGACATCATACCTAAGGAACCATAACCTTGAGCTACGATATCTGATTGGACGTCACCGTCGTAATTTTTGCAGGCCCATACAAAACCTCCAGAGGATTTTAGGGCTTGAGCTACTTGGTCGTCAATAAGGCGATGTTCGTAGGTGATTTTTTTGGCTTCATATTGACTTTTGTATTCTCTGTTGATGAAAAAATTTTGACATCAGAGGTTTTATTTGTAAAAAAAAAATTGCTTACTTTTCATAGATTTCTTGGAAAATGTCCTTAAATCTACCATCATATTTCTTTAAAATGGTGTTCTTGGTGCTCAAATATAAGGGCCAGCCTTTAGCTAGCGCCATCTGGAATGAAGACTTAGCAAAACCTCTTATACTCTCATCTGTGTTGTACATGGATAGAGCAACACCAGGTCCTTTGAACCTATACAATTCAATCGATATTTTTTCACCTTCGTCTGGAGTATAAACCATTTCCACCTAGAACAATACCAAACAGATAATAATATGCCCCACTCATTAGGTTAAGTATTACCTTTCCAGGTTTAGTGATAACCAAATCCTGAGCTTTGTATTGGTCGCCATGAGCGTGACGTCCTATGCAAATAGGCTGAGTCCATCCAGGTACTAATTTTGGAATATTTTTGCATAAAATCGGTTCTCTGAAAACGGTACCGCCTAAAATGTTTCTTATGGTGCCATTGGGGGAGAGCCACATTTTTTTTAGTTTGAATTCTAGAATAAATTGATACTTTTCAATTGGGCGAGACAGTTTGAAATTATAGTAAATTTCAGCTTTGGAGTTATTAGTGATGCAGATTTTGTCTTATTGCAGGTGTGTTTTTCATGTCTACCAAATCCATCAACCAAGATATTTCTGCGGTTTTTTTCTCCACGATGGTAGTTCAAAAACCGTTTTTTTTTTCAGTTCTAGTCCTCTTTACACGACGAAGAGGATACAAAAAACCGCATCAAAATTAAATCATTGAAAGACATTTGGATTTATTAACCTAAGATGAATATGCTTATTAGATATTCTTTTTCAAACCCTCTACTTTATACGGACTATACCATAGAAACTTGCATGTTGTCACAAAGGGGCAACTTTTTTCTGCAGAAGCTTTGTTTAATACACAATCAAGATTCAGGTTAAATAATAAAAAGCACCTGCATCAAGAGATTGATTCCCCGTTTTATGGTATAGAGTTGGTAGATATAAAATAAGCCAAAAGGGACTTTACATAAAACTCTGAAGATTTATGCTTTTGTTAGCCTGATATTCTTTAAGTTACCTTCAACCCTAGCTTCATCAGGAGTGATTGTAGCACATTTAATGCCTACATTATGTTTGAGGATAGCATGGGCAGCATCGATAGTAACTTGGTCGTTAGTTTGGTCCCTGTAAGGTAATCCTAGATCGTAGTAAAGACATTCGAGTTTTAAATAAGGAAATATCAGGGATTCCTTGATTTTTTCCCAAATTATTCTTGTCATCTCGTCACCGTCCATTTCGACCACTGGGTTTTTGACTTGGATGCGGCTTCCACTAGCATCTAAAAATAAAATATAGGTAATTCTGCTAATTCCTTTATAGGTTTAGAGATAAAAGAAGGAAATATGCCCTTAACCTACCCAGAAAGGCCCTTTTAGGTAAAAAAATTTGTGGTTGACACAGCATGGGGTGCAAACATATGTATTCAAGATGGTTTTTCTAACTGCATTTGTGAGGCTAGGCTTTTTAAGTCACTTGTGGCAAAGATAATCCTACTTTGAAGTAGGATTGGTCGGCACGCCACTGCAATAATTACAATGCATGTTCGCCAAAAGATAAAAAGGTATGGCGATTCTGCAAGGTCAAAAAACTGTTAAAAATGCATCAATTTATGGTGTCTGCTGTCCAGGGACCATTATACCTGCTCATATGGGTCAGGACCGGTTGATGGGAATTTAACAAGATTTTGTTGTATTTATTTTACTGAAATTTGCAATTAATTAATACGACACAAGCATATAATTTGATAAAATTGCAAATGATGCAGCAAAAGTTCTTTGCGATTGGTCTGAAAATAGTGACAATATAAATAGTTGGGTATAGTTAGAACCAACTAAGAAGAACCCCTGACCAAATCACTGACGAAGAAGGCAGACTTCCTTTTCTCTATAGGGCCCTCCCATTTGGAGTAAAGATCACGTGGCTTCTTCTTAGTTGGTTTTACCTATAACAACAGTATGCAGTATGCATCGTGGAACATTGGAAAAAATCCCCGAAAAACACGATTTTATTCCGGTTTCATAGCAATACTTGCTATATTTAACAGTGTGTATTGCGTATTAACGTTGATACTGTTTATAATAAATTAGAAACATGCATCTGAGAAATACCTCAGAGGAAAATAAATGAAGCAAATTACCACATATTCTAGAAATTGATGTTTAAAGGCTCACCGAAATAACGTGGCTTATGAAGTGGCGTGTGATCTAGCAAGTGGCATACCTCTTATTACGTGCCACTAAATGCATGTTACTTGCCGTGTCACTTCAGTGGGCTCTTGCTTATTTGTTTATGTCGCTTGATTTGATGTAGCATGCTAGATGTGTGCTACTTGCTAGATCATACGCCACATCATGGAGCCACGCTATTTCGGTGGAAGCCCTGCCTAATGGAGAAGGTAAAGTCCGTCGATTTTTATCTGATACTCCAAAGGAATGTGAGCTGGTGGCACCCTACATTAGAACGCCAATGGTCACCTGACATCACTCTGTTTTTGCCATATGCTTCACCCCCTCGTTCCTCATACGGAAAGTGTCAGATTAAAAACGACAGACAATACTTACACGTTGTATATTTGGGAGATGTTATTAGGAAACCAAACAAAATTATAGTACCAGTACCTATCCTTCTTACTTTACCTTTGTAAATGGGGATTTCAATGCCACATTGGGACTGAGACAAGACCCACAGGAAACTGCTCTCAGAAATAATTATGGAAGTCCAGTCAGAAATAATCGTGGAGACACCTTTACTCAACTTTCTGTTGGAAAACAAACTGTTCTAATAAATAGTTTTCTCTCTGGGAAACATTTATTAGGTAGACTCTATAATGGATGAAGAGATAGGGCGTCAAAGTACCAACTTAATAAGTTCGCAACAGCCAGCGACCAAAGTTAAGAGCAATCTATAAAAATGCAAACTAACATACGACAAACATTTGAGAAAAATAAAAGCTTGACGGTAATGAAGGAAACTTGCCAATGGAAAGGAAGAGATTCTCAGGCTCAAAGACGAAACTTGTAGCATAACAAATAATACTAAGAAGAGATACTACCGATTATGGAAAGATTTTAGGAGGCTCTTACACAAAACAGCGCTGTTCGGACTAATGGAATATGAGCAAAGAAAAGTGATGAATCGGCGAGTGAATCGGTTTCAGAGGAGATTCCTGAGATTTTTGTAGAGAGTTGCAATGCGCTTGAAAAGATAACATTCCAGCAGATCACTGGAACAACGTAATCATGCTCCTTTCAGACCCGTCCCTTTATCGTGTAAAACAATATAGCAAATTTCTCGAGAATTACCGGCCTATTAGAGCTTTTCCACTGCCACCCTGAACCTTTTCAAACAGTTTAAGACTCTTAAACCATCATACACTATTGACTTTTTGGTAAAAGTGGATCTTGGGATAAGCAGGCCAGGCGCAATTCATTACCATTCTGGTTATTGTGGACATTTTCATTTGAAAAATCAGCATGTTTGTCATGTATCAGGGTAACTGTTCATAATATGAAAACACATACTAAAGTCGGTATCCCTTCCAGTTCAAGAACCGCCTAGACCATGAAATGAAGAACAGAAACTTAACCACCTTTTCTGCGTATTATTTGGTATAGACGGTAACAACTTAACAATAAGAATAATTATTCTGTGCGGTAAATAAGTAGTGAACTTAGCGAACAGACTCAAATAGTTTATCGGATTTATCCGTCTATACTGTTGAAAACTATAAGCTCTGTTCCAACTGAGATGAGAACCGTTCCATAACCAGTAATTTCCAGTAGCCCACCTATTTTTCAATAAGTATGAGCGTTTATCCTAATTGACAAATGAATTGATCAACTGGAAATTACTGTTCTAGAATTCAACGAGTTCTCGGAAGAAACAAACTGATTAAACTCTTCTCATCAATTTTTGATGAGGCAAAAGATTATTTACCAGTTGTCCTTTAGTATAAAATGCTAACAAAAAATGGGTTTGCAAAGTTAAAGCCCTGTAAGCCAGTTGAGTTGGCCATAGAAATATAGACCTATATACAGGGTGATTTACGTAGCTCGTGCATTAGAAGTTTTTGAGGTTGCAGGGGTATTAGAAACTTAAAATTTGGTTTGTAGCCATAATCAATCGTTTCGGTGCAATTTTGAGTTTATATACCACCCCCAACCCAAGTTTTGTCAACCTATCTTTTATAGTTTTTGACACAAATGTCATTATTTGTTCCAAATTGCCGCTGCAGTTCTTTAGGAAAAACATGGTTTCGCGAAAACCGTTCTATAAAATAATAAACCCAATTTGGAGATAAATGGCTGAAGGTTCAGGCTAACTTCTGATATGTCATTAGTGCGCCCATTTCATACCATATGGGTGCAGGCAACCTACAAGCACAGCATATACAAAAACAATCAGCAGACAAACTCTCACGCGCATCTTTTCTGCGCACGCTGCCATTAGGGGATACCATCCTGTCATTAAACGGCAGGGACGCCGACATTTTAATTTATTTGTTTATTTCTGACGGACGTCATAGGCGTGCAGAATTTTAGTTATGCTTTTCAAAATGATTTTAGTATATTCGTGTTGTCATTTATGGTGTTATCAGTTATCACTCTTGTATATTTAAAAATAATATTAAATTAGTAAGCACCGGCGTATACAAGGGGGGGGTAATGGGGGTAATTACCCCCCCCAAGATCGTTGCGATGGACGAAAAATATGTACCCTACATTTTACAAATAATTCTATTTTTATATTTTTATTTTTCAGCAACTGGCCCTAACTTGTTTTCTAGTTTGCACTGTGTCCGCACTGCCCGCTTGCCATTTAGAGCGAATTCTATCCAAAGGTATAGTGCACACTGAGAGTATTTGTGTCTTTCTCTACTAGCTTGCATAAGAAAGAGATAAAAATACATTTTTTGCATTAATTCTACCAATAGAATTCGCTATAATTACAAAGTTTTAGGTGAATCTAATAGTGAATTCCATTGGTAAAATCAGTGCAAAAAAATGTGTTTTTATCTCTTTCTTATACAAGCTGGTAGAAGAAGACACGAATACACCCAGTGCGCACTAACCCTTTCTCGGTAGTATAGAATTATATTTACCTAACAAGTGCGGAAAATGTTTTTTTTTCCGCATGAGTCTGTCGTTCGCCGAAAGACGCGTAGCGGAATTTGGTGAAGCAGTCGAGTGCGGAAAACAGATTTTCCGCATGTGTTGGTACAATAGTTTTTCTACAGACGTGCGGAAATAACCTACATATAACCTACATATAATTTGTAGTAATTTATTGTTTTTTTTTTTGACAGCCGTGCGGAATATCCGTGCGAAAAAAATTTCACCCCACCGTGCGAGAAAATCGATTTTCCGCACTGTTTAACAGATACCCCCCCCCAGACGCATGGGCTGGATACGCCGGTGTTAGTAAGGATGAATATTATTATATGTAAGTAATATTAAATTAGTTTATTTGAAGCCAATACGTCTATGTGACCCGAAAGAAAAAATCTTAATTATTGTTAATCAGGTCCTGTCTCGTATCCCAAAATGGCCGCTAGTGACATCCCAACCATGAATTCCTTTATTACACGGGCTGTCACTCGAGTTAGCCTGCTGATTGTGTTTGTATATGCTGTGCTACAAGCTACAAGTATAAAAAAAAGGTGAAAAAGTCAATTTTTTTAAACGTCTTACTTACTTATGTTTTTTGGCACCATTTGAAAGAAAATTGAATTTTACATAGCATCACCTAAGCATTCCCTATACCTAACATGATTCGTTATGGAGTTTTCCATAGAAAAGTCCATTTTTTCTGACTAGCCAGTAAAAATACTCCTTCCACGCCTCTATCAATAAATAGCCGCTTTAAGAGGGGCGTTTAAATAAAATGTCATTTACCGACCTTCACAAATTTCTGCTCTATTCCAAATTTAGACCACTTTTTAGTAAAATGAAGTTATTTTCATAACGATAGGACAGAATTTTCGAAAATTATAATGTTTTTATCACAAAATTAATCAAAATCTGCCAAACAACGAGGTCATTTTCAGCAGAGACTCAAGCCAAACGTGTGCTCAGCGCTTCTTTTAAAGATGTTGCTGAGTTCGGGGAGGGTAGTCATTTCCTAAGTTAAGTATAGGAAATCCCTAAGTAAGGTTACGTAAAATTCAATTTTCTTGCAAATGATGCCAAAAAACATAATAAGTAGCATATTTATAAAAATTGACTTTTTGACCATTATTGATTCCGATGTTTGTAGGTCGCCTGCACCCATATGATATAAAGTGGGCGCACTAATGACACATCAGGAGTTAGCCTGAACTTTCAACTAATTATCATCTAAATTTTAGTTTATTACTGTGCACTTTGCAACAGTTTTCGAAAAACCTTGTTCTTCCTGAACAACTGCAGCGGCAAATTTGAAACAAAAAAAATTACATTTATGTCAAAAACTATAAAAGATAGATTGATAAAACTTGGGCGGTTCAAACTCAAAATTGCAAGGCCAAGTAAACTATGTTGAAAAAGATGCGAGTTTCTATTTGAAATAAGAAAGTTAGTGCTTATACATTTGGTACACCCTGTATAGTTGAAGATCTGAAAATATTTTAGGTGACACTGAAACGATTAATTATGGCTACTAGGGTTGCCAGATACCTGAGTTTTGAAAATAGGAGAGCCTGTGAAAAATTATATGAGATTGGATGATAATATATGAGAATATTTTATGTACTGCAAAATACTTCAATCCGAAAAAGCTCCTATCTTAACATTAAGTTATGATTTTTAGCAGATTTTGGAATATATTGCGAGTTTTTGCGGGAAATTTTTCAGCCAATAGGAGCTCCATCGTACCATCGGACGGTCGGATGGGACGCATCGCTTGAGACTCCATCCTATAACCGGAGTCTCATGCATCCGTTTTCCGACGTCCGATGTCCGAAAAACCTCCTATTTTGACATATTTTAATACGATTATGCCAAAATACCTAGAAGGTTTTTCGGACATCGGACGTCGGAAAACGGATGCATGAGACTCCGACTTATCACGTGTATTGTAGTGATATACATGGTTTCTTTTTTTTGATCAAAATATATGAGAAATAGTCTCATATTAAACATGCTAATATGAGATATGAGAAACAGTTTAAATATATGAGTCTCATATTAAAAATAGGAGGTCTGGCAACCCTAATGGCTACAGACCAAATTTGAAGTTTCTAGTCCCCCTGCAACTTCAAAAACTTCTAATGTACAGGCTACGTAAATCACCCTGTATATATATATATATATATATAAATAGTGTAGGTATTCGTGACTGGCAACTTATAAATGGAAGATTGATACCCCAGAAAATATCTTCCATTTATATATATATATATATATATTTTTTTTTCATTGTTAACGCATAGATGGCATAACATTCAGCTGCATTAGCAACTGTCTCAAAAATAACTCCATTAAGTCAAACCGTCCTGAAGCCATATAAAATAAATTCTCATCAGTTCTCTGCTGGACCCCAAGACAAGTATATAAAGTGCGTTAAACCGTTGAAACCCTTTTCTTGTTTTGGGGCTTGATGTCATCAGTGGCGTAGGTAACAAATAGGACTATGTGACTGTGCTCACTTGTTGTGTTCGAAAAACAAAATCAAAATATGATGATAAGGTCGACTACAGTTATGCAATAATTGTTTTATTTATTTCATCCGGATATGAAAGCTATTCTGTTTTTGATAAGTTGCATAATATTTGTTGGATAAAACTTGGGAAAATAAATAATATTTTTATCACATTCAGATACCTATTTACCTACCTAAGTAACAAGCTGATTATACATTAGTTAATTAAGTTTGCCTTTCTCCCCACAAATTAGAATAGGATGAAAATCAGTGGATTTTTTGGAGTATAGTAGTACCTATTTATTTACCCCTGATACATAATTTCAAGTTCAAGTAGGTACTTATATAAATAAGAATGTATAATAGGTATAAGCTTCATGAGATAAATTTTCATCTCCTATCTCGCTGCTTTCCATATACCTAGCCTACTAGACAAGTAAAACTACAAAGCTATGTTCCGTTTAGAACGTTTGTACTATGCTTTCCTCCCTCATCTTGTATCATGCATGATCATGGATCAGTGTGATGGAAACTCTGTTCCAACCGACATGAGAATTAACCGTTCCAGTACCAGCAATTTCCAGTTGCCCACCTATTTTTCAATAAGTTGAACGTTTATCCTACTTGACAAATGAATTGATCGACTGGAAATTGACGTTCTAGAGCGGTTCTCATGTCGGTTGAAACAGAGCTCATGTCATATGATAGGGAAACTGCATGATGATTAACAACACGCCATCTAAATTCAGTACCTATCGATAGCAGAACGCCGCATTGAAAAATTAAGTCACGCTCCTATTTTATTTCCATCCCATCTATACAAAAATCATCAAAGTTTAGCCAATAATAAAAAAATTCTACTTACAAGTTCGGTGTTGTAGAGCTCCATTCTGGACAAACAGCTGACCAGAATTCCGGCAAATTTTCGTGAAAGTTCCTGCCATTTTTCGGGATTCTAAACTTTTAAATGTGTGTTAATATGCACTGATAAAAAGGAACTAATCAAACGGGTCGTTGTATTTTTTATTTATGAGAAAATGCCGGTATTATCAGGTCTGTGACGCTACAGTATCGCCGTTCAGCGATTAGCGGTTTCTGTCCGCCTGTGTGCTTTGGTTGCACTTTGCGCACTCTCTCCCTCTCAGTTAGCACGTTTATAGGACAGTCTTGAATCGGCCAAAGGAGGTTTTCAAAAAATATTAATAAATGTTAATTGTTAAGGTTTTGGATGTTATCAGCAAATATCGCAGATATCTCTCGTATAAATTTAGTTTGTTTTGGGCCCGATAAACTACTGACCTTCTTGTTAGGATTTTAGAATTTGTACTTATGGCGGATAATAAAAAATCGCATTCCAAAGGTTTGTAAATAAAACAAAAATGTTTAAAATGAAAGTTTTAAGATAATTTAGGTTTCAGAATTTAAAAAACAATGTTTTGACATGTAATTGACAGGTTGACACTTTGTAGGGGACAATAAGCTTTGTTCGCGAAACATATTCTGAACCAGTTTGTAACTTGTTCAGGACTGCCGTAAAAGCGCTTACCCAATCATGAACTACACCTATTCCATAAGTATTTCAGAATGTATCACTTGTATTCCAGATTTATCAATTCTAGTTCAGAATGCGTCAATTATACTCCAGTTGTGTAAGTTTAATTCCAGAAAGTGTTATTTGTATTTCAACTTTGTCAGTTGTAGTTCAGAAAACATCATTTGTGTTTCAGATTGGTCAGTTAGTCAGTTGTATTTCAGAAAAAGTCATTTGTATTCCAGTTTGGTCACTTGTATTTCAGAAATCGTCATTTGGGTTTCAGATTATTTATTTGTAGAATTCGTCAAATGTATTTCAGATATTATCAATGTATTATATAAAGGACCCCGCACATTTCTTATGGAAAAGTGTTCTATGTGGAATTTTGCTGAATGTTTGATATTGTGTAGAGGCAGTCGTCCTTAACAAAAGTGATAATTGCGCTAATGTTCAATACCCAACAGTTTTCAAGATATCAATAGAAGATTTCATTACGAATGACGACAAACAAAGTCACATAACCTATAAATAGCATTGTCAATGTTATTAATTTTTTTTCAATTTTGGGCTTAAATTTAATAATTATGGCAGTTTTGGGAGAACGTGATATGTTTTATCTACAGTGGCTAAATAAACCTTTACATACAGTGGCGACAATAGAGGTCCCATCGCCATCTTGTTCCCAACCTCTTGTTACTTTTAAATATTAGTATATAGGATTTAAATGGACATCTATCATAAAAAATTGAAATCGACGTATTTGCTGACCATTATTAGGGCCATCAAATACGTTGTTTTCCATGAATTCTGATGGATGTTCACCTAAATCCCATATATTCATATTTAAAAGTAACACAGGGTTGGGAACAAGATGGCGGCGTTTTTAATATAAATATATGGGATTTTAGAACCAATCAAAAATGAGACAGCAATTGTCGCCACTGTGGGTTATAGAGTCACTGTAGTTTTATCGAGAGGCGATGAAGCGATGTGTCTTTGGTGATTGTAAAAGTGATAGTCGAACAAGTTTCATTAAATTAACGACCCCATTTGCCTCTACTGGAGTTTTAGGCAACACAGCACCTGTCACATCACTCTGTTAATTTTATCAAGCGTTTCGCAACCAAAGAAGCCATAGCGAATGCACCGAATACTTACGAAAGCGTAGATTTATGTATTTTTTCAGTATGACGTCACTCACAGCAACGAAATTATTACTATCCTTTCCACTTTTGACTTTGACTTCACTCTTCTCCTTTTAACATTAAGAAAAAAAAAAGATAGCGATAGCGATTAGTGACAAATAGGTAGGTATGTAAACAACACCTGAACACCTAGCACCTGCCGCAATCGTCAACTTCATGTCATGATGTCTGTCATATAGCGATTTAATTTGTACCTGTTGTTGTTTTTTTCTATTTCCTAAATGTTAAAAGGAGAAGAGTATAAGTATAGGTAGTCAAAGTCAAAAGTGAAAAGGATAGTTCTAATTTTCGGTGCTGTGAGCATACTGGTGACGTCATACTGAAGAGTGTCAAATTAAAAAAGTTTTTAATAGATATCTTGAAAACTGTTGGGTATTGAACATTAGCGCAATGACCACTTTTGTTAAGGACGACTCCCTATACACAATATCAAAAATTCAGCAAAATTCCACATAGATCACTTTTCCATAAGAAATGTGCGGGGTCCTTTATAATAAGTCACTTTAGTCACCTATACACCTATCTTGTCATAGGCGCCGGAACTTCAAAATTAGTATGGGGGCTCAAGCTCCAAAAAAACACAAGTATGATTATACAGACAGGACCAATAGGCTACTAGACACATAGGCTTAAATGAGACCAGTTGACTGATACGTACATTTCACTGCAGGAACGCCACGCTGGATAATTGACATCCTCCCTGGATATTATTGAAATTCGTGAATCTTCGGCAGCACCGCTCCGATTCGTCTTAACCGGGTAGAAGCTAATTCGTATTATTACCTAAATATGTGTCTAGTAGGATGATCCGGTCTGTATATAAGTTTTCCATGATATACTAGGTGAAAAAAGCCATTGTATTCATGATGTTTATATTCATGTCATTTAAACATATCATAAAAAAAAAACGAAGATATAAATGGCCGCGTTCACCAGCACTCAACATTTTGAATGCTGGTGAACGCGACCAATAATCCCAATCCGACTTTTTGAATATACAGCTCTAAATAATATACAACAAAATATTGAAATTTTTTGTTAAAGTAGGTATAGCAAAAACAACAAAAACATAAAACACAAATTTGACAGAAAAATAAGTAATTGGGAGCTCAATATTTTTGTACAGGGTGATCTATTACGAATGTCACCCCCTCCTAACTTTATCATTTGACGTTTTTGACAAAAGAGTCACATACAATCGTTTCAAGAAATTCAGAAATTGTCAAAAGTTTTCATCTAAGTCAGTATCAAGTATCAGAGTGCTCTAAAAAAAGTGTAGCAGAGCGAAGTTATATTTTTTGAAATGCAACACCACGTATATTGTGCGCTTAATTGTTAGTCCCCTGATTTCGATTTCAACGATATATGAGGCCTGTTCGCACAGCAATCACAAACCAGTCAAGAGTGAATTTCATTGGTTGAAAACAGTCAGAAAATTAGTTTCAAATAAATTCAGTATTCAGTTGTCTTGAGTCATTATTATTTAAAATAATTAACATGTTTAGCTTAGTGGATAGGTACAGGCACTCGGCTGCTTCACCGAACTCCGCTACGCGTCGTTCGGTGAACGGCAGCCACGTGCGGAAAAATTCATTTTCCGCACTTGTTAGGTAAATAGCTATTTTCTAACTTATGACATTATCGATGTCATAAATACAAACCCTCGTGAAATAAACCTTAGATCACCCTGTACCTATCCACTAAGCTCTGCCCCCATAGCAAATTCACTATGGGGGCTCAAGCCCCCATTGCCCCCATGGTTCCGGCGCCTATGTATCTTGTGTTGATTTGGGAAAATCTGCGTAGATATCGCTACTAATTTCTCAACTACATCTGACAATTTCTGAACTATATCTGACAATTTCTGAAATACAATTCACGTTTTCTGAACTACAATCAACTAAATCTGAAATACAATTGATGCTTTCCGATATAAAATTACCTAATCTGAAATACAATTGACACTTTCTTTTCTGAAATAAAATAAACTATTCTGAAATACAATTGATTCTTTCCCAAATAAAATAAACTAATCTGAAATACAATTGACGTTTCCCGAAATAAAATTCACTAATCTGAATTTCAATAGGGAACTTGCACATTTTTTTTTTTTTTAATTCAAAAATGTGTTCTACTTCACTAAAGACATAGTCATGCCAAATATCGGACATTAAAAATCAGCCGTTAATTTTTTATAAATATTTGAAGTTACGCTCGAAACTGTATCGCCATTTGAAACGACCAATCAGTGTGACGTCACTCGGCAACAAAATTCCGATCACAGTGACGAGTACTTCGAACTTCAAGCAGGTAGATTAAGATTATGGTTATGTTGTTATGTATGCAGTTTTTGATAGATTTGACATTGGCGACACCAGCAGCACATGACGTGGCAGCGGCACGACCCGATTATTACTGCCTTGTGACGTCACGACCCATAGAAATACGTTTTTGATCGCGTCATGAATTTCGAATTATTTGGTATTTTCAACTGAAGATTTTGGACACCAGAGATAAGATATTAAATTTTTTTCCTAATTGCATCATTTATTAGGATGATTGTTATTGTGTTTTGTTATTTATTCCATATTTAATTTGATGTGCAAGTTCCCTATTGACGTATTCTGAAATTAAACTGACGATCTCTGAAATACATATGGACAAGGTGTAATTCAGGATTTATTTATTTATTTTTACTACGACTGCTCTAGAAAGCTATTAAAAATGCACTAAGGTCCAGTTTCACAATTGGTGGTAGCCTGCAGTGGTTATCAAACTAATAGTTGCGCAGGTTGTCGGGTTGACCATACAAGCTTACAAAATATTAAATAAGGCTTGAGTTAAATATTATGTAGCTTGACCAATGGTTTTGGCTAAACCAAATATTATGAAACACATATATTAACTTACCTAGAAAATCAATTATCTCGAGCAACGTGCGAAAAGTACTTTTTACACGCTAAAATAGAAGAAATGACACTTTCGCCGAATTTTTGTTTTGCTAATTAGATATAATTCTTTCCACTTTCAGTTTATGGCAACCTTACTTTTACTCTTTGCATATACATCCAGAAAACATTCTTATTTGTCTATACATTTTTCAATAATGAATTGCTTGTTTTAGAAATGCTGGAATATAAAAAAAATCTTATAATGTGAAGTTAGTTATTTCGCAGAAAAATTATAGTGTGTAACGCGTGTGAATAGTACTTTTCACACTCGTGTTGTTTGGTGTGTGCCACTCGCCTGCGGCTCGTGGTACCAAACTTTCCGCCACGCGTTTGGAAAGTGCTATTTTCAACACTTGTTGCACAATCATAGATCTACTGTTACCAATAAGCAATGTTGTTTCTCGGATAAATGTGTGTCATCACTAATTAAGAAACAA